TAGCTCACTCATGATCTGCTTCTATATCCATTAACTATCCAGGAAAGCGATTTATTGGTGAAGGGTAAGAAAAAGGGGATGAGGAGAGGCCGTGGTGTGGCTTTAGTTTGACAATAGTGCCCTCTACTGTCCTCAAAGTGGTCTGGAGACTGGTGGGGACTCTGGTGGTCCACAGCCGTGCTTCGTTGAAGGTTTGAGAAGCGGTTGATGTTAAAGCATACCACCTCCAATTTTAGCTTCGATTGAACAAATATTTCTTAAACTGAAAAACATGCCAAAAACATACTGGAAGAGAAAACTGTGAGAGCAGCGTATGCAAACAAATACAAAACATACGAGCACATAATCAAGTCCCACAAAGACATTTGCATCCAATATACAACAACCATGCCAAAAACACAAGGCTTTCACCCGGAAGGAAGAGCATGCACTTTGTGCCCTCTTTCAGCAGCAGTTTAAGCCAGGGCTCCGGCACCTACTCCCCCCTCTTCATCCCTCCATCCTCTCCTCCGCAGTCCCTCCTTCCCCACACTCCTGTGATGTGTCGTTACACGCTCGACTGGCTCCTCTTCCATGACAGACTGTTACTTCCTGGAGCGGAAACGCATTTGATTGTTAACATCTGGGCCATTACAATTGCAAACTAGGGCTCTGTACATCAATCAGGAAGTGATTTCAAAACAAAGAGACCGTCCTCCAATCAATCTATTGGGAAGCGGGGGCATTACATGCTCCTGTAATCCCGGCTAATTAGCGGGATAATGGGAATGAGATTTATGAATCTGCTGAGGAGAGTGGAGGTGCGAGGGCACGCTCAAATTAGCAGGGATGCACGCCAGCCGCGGCTTCAACGAGGAAGAAGGGCCATTGTGTTGTTGTTTTTTTTTATCAACTTCTTGCTGCCTGGACACCTTTGGTTGGTGTCATTGTGAAAGGAATATCCCGGGTTATGAGGTGTGTGTGGTAGCGACACAGGACGTTAAATCTCGGCTTCAAATTAGAGGAACCAGGACCGTGGTGGCTTCTCCACTTTCTAAATGTATCTGTTAAACATCTGGTGCTTCGCAAACAAAGGATCCTACCGATATCATTTAAGCAAAAGACTGTTATTGGAATTATTCCGTACCTCTGGGCGTTCACTTTAGTTAGTCTCCTACACAGACCAGCGATTTCTAAATCTTTGAGATCCGAAAACTTCTCCAAAGTTAATTTTTTCTATGCCCAACACCTGAATAATCAGTAATGTGAAAAAGGAGGCACAGTCTGTGTCCGTTTTAAGGTTTTATGACACATCAAACACTGAAAAAAATGTCTTGTCCTGAGCAAATCTTGATATTGTGTAAGTGTCATTCTCTCCAATTATTGTGGAGGAAGTTTGATCTCAGTTCTTCCATACTTTGTTGCTTCAGCTTAAAGAATTTGTGGATATTACGCAAAACTCTTCAAAGGCCTTTCAGTTTTGGATCAGGCTTATGTCTTGAGCATTGCAACATCTTGAAGCATCTCTTTCGCAGCCATTATTGTGAAGACTCACTGCTGTATTTGGTATCATCGTCCTGTTGCATGAACCAATTTAGGCCAGACTCTGGCTGCTGGACACAAGGTCAGCTTAATGACTGCCCGGTGCACAGGTTGTGTGGCTGCAAAACAAGTCCAATTCATCAAACCTCTAACATTGTGCTTGACAGCTGGTGTGAGGTGTGCGCGCTCTATGCCGTGCTAGGTTTTCACCAGACAACTCCATTTTGGTCTAATCTGTTCAAAGGACATGTACAAACATAAGGTATTCAAAAGGTTGATACCAAACTCCAGTATGTTTTTTCCTAATTGTTCAATCACAAACTTTAACATATAAGATGCTACCTATGGCCTGTCGCGTCCGAGATGTAGTGCATTTCACAACGTGACCTTGGAGTGAATTTGTCTTCTTATGGGAAGACTGAAGCAAAAATGTTGAATGTTTTCCACTTTTGAATGATCTTGCTCCCTGAGGAATAACGCTCTCTATGTAATCTGTACAGCAACATTTCTCAGATTACCTATATCTTCTCTCAGGCCAACGTTGTGCCTTTTAAGTAGTGCTCACATTTGCTAATGGACAAATGATCAAGTGTATTAGATTTACAGAAGCAAGCTGCAACGTACTATTTGAACTCCAGTGGAACCACTAAGATGGTGGGTCCACAGTGTTTTTCACATAGTGGTTTGCCATCTTGTCTTGTTTTCAATTAATTTTGAAATGGTGAGATGTACCACATCCTCTTTTTGTGTTACTGGATTGTAGTCACATAAGACCTTGTAAAATTATATGATTTCTTACAGTGTCTTTTTTGCATAACATCTTGGATCTGTACTCTTATGCATACTTTTGACATACCAATAAGGCCTTCTTTTGCCACAGATATAGAAATCTGTCGATGTTGACGTAAAGATAAATGGCCCCTTTTAGCTTGCAGATCCCTTTTATTTTAATGTATTCTTTGTGTTTTGAGTTATTCCAGAGCTGTGCAAATTAACATCCATTCCCAACTGAAGGGAATAGACAACATTTGAGTGTGACAGATTTTCCTTTCTGCTCAGCGTTCTGTGTGGCTGAATGAGAGGGCCGTTGAGCAACGCTTGGTGTGTGGCGGTGTGCATGTGTGGCGGTGTTTCCCTGGAGGTGGCTGCCTCAGTGGCACCCCAAAGCCTCTTCCTCCCCAGCGGCCCCCGGCCTGACCTTGCCCCACTGGCGGGGGGACATCTCCCATTAAAGCATGCATTGTGATAAGGCCATTTCTTTTCCTTCAGCATCCCTTTAATGTCATCCCTGAAATATGAAGTCATTAAGAGATATTAAAACAGTGCTGACAAACTAATTAACAGAAGACATTATACGGGATGGGCTCGATTAATCCGCTTTAATTGCTCTTTTAAATGGGGGCTCCAATTAAAATTAATAAAGATTTACTGGTGATCACACCAAACTACACTAAGAAGTGGTTGTCTGAAGGGCAGCCTAAAGTCAGTGGCCTCCATTCTCAAGTTACACACCCCTTTGCACCGAGCACCCTCCCCGTGTAAGGCTGTGAAAAGGCCCATATACATGAGCAGGAGATTAAACGGGGGGACTGTCCCAGCGCCCCGGTCCCACAGCTCATATTGTCTCTCACTCCTAAGGAGACACAGCTCGTTCTCTTTCATGCATAAATACCATGCCACACACTTGCACCATCAGCTAAGATTTCAAAGCACCCAAGCATGAACACCGTGCAATTTGTGAAAAAAAATCAACGAGTGTTGGTCATTTCATAAACTAAGCCAACATCCAAAGGATTTGAAGGGGTTCGGTTTCGAGGCTTTCAGTTTCTACTCAGTGACAAGTGCACCCCTTAGTGGGAAGTTGTGTACACAACACAAAACGATCGCGTTCAAAATGGGACAGAAACGGTCATGTTAACAGCATGTTAATTTTTTTAAAAACAAGCTGTAAAACGTGATTTGTGTGTGGTGAAAAAGAAAAAAGTGAACACCGACTTCCGATGTCTGTTGAGGCAGGTTGAGCTGTGTGCGTTACATTAAAGGTTCACTAGATGATGCTGTTACTCTGCTGTGAGTGTGTTCAATCACCACCACCACCAGCAAAGCTCTGATTTTCTTTGTGTTTCCTCTTTCAGCGTTAGACTCTCAGAAAATACAATAACAGCATCAGCATTTTATACAATACTGTGACGATCCGAAAGGTCAGACACCTCACAAAGAGCAACAGCTCAAACTACGCATTTTCGTTTTAATTTGATCGTGTTCTGTTTTCTTTTGCTTTTCATTTCATCTTCATTACAAAGAATGCTCTGTTTTATCAGTTTCTCTAATACAGAACATAATTTCATATCGTGCGGTTGAAGTTGAAGCCTTGTTAGCCGCAGGCGGCTGAACAACTGAAGGCTTTTTATTTGTTTTCTTTCATTATATTAGAGGTTACCAAGTCTTGTTCAGAAAATGTCACACAATAAATTAATTTGAGCAAAGCACTTTGCTTCATTCAGAAGCATTTTAATTGAGTTGAGAATGTAAATCAATTTACTGAAGACGACTGATCTAATTGAAAAGAAATGTCTATTAAAAGATTAGTGAGGTTTATTGTCTCCAGTCTTTGTTGTCAGCCAGTCCAACAAATGTTTTAATTTCCTTAATGTTATCATTTCTGATGTAATTGGTGCTTGGATGCCTAACAGGTTTTCAATTAATTTTTTGGTGTTGGGAGCTGACATTGTAAACTCACACAGTAAGTGAAATTGCGCACGGCCCTTAAAGCTCTCCATGACGTCTGCATGATGCATTATTCTTTTGGTTGAAACTGTTTAGTCTTTTTGCAAAAGTTTGAATTAACTACAAACATGCAATGAGCAGAAACACTGATTTATTGTTCATTTTTAATTTGGACTCTTACTTATTGCTTTTAATTCACTGATGTGAATGTCTGGTTTCTGTAAAGTCCAAAGAAAGAAGAGCGGCCTGTCTGCTATTTTCATGAACCCTCCACGTGCATTTGCCCTCAACTTGCTCAGAGTGGGTGCCTGGAAGAAAGCGTCAACGGGTTTGTGGAATTTTGCTTTGGTGGCACAACCGTGATATGAGGTCACCTCGGGCATTAGTCATTAGGAGGGAATGCATTGTGGCTGTTTTTAAGACATGGCAGTTGTCCGCATCCGCAGTGGCCACACAATGAATGCAGGCCTTAGAAAGCTGACTTGAATTGGCTTCGGTGAACAATGTGAGCAGCATAGTTCGGGGGACATTTAACAGCTGGCTGCTGGACGTGGATTAGAGGCACCTTAGGGGCCCGGCACTGTGATGCAGTGTTTTCACTTTGGAGTTAAACATTAGCAGTCAGAAATAAAGCTATTGGTGTGGGATGTTATGGTCTGGGATGTTATGAATATCAAAAGATGTTACATGCTGCAGTTATTGTAAAAATGAAAAAAAACACCCAAACACATCCACTTTGTTATATAATTTAGTGCATCTTTAATTTGAATAATCATCGCGCACAATGTTTGTGAGCAAAATATCTGGAAAGGATTGTACTTTACAAGACAGGAGCCATATCCTCACACGTGATAACGAGAACTACGATGCATGCGTTTAGATAAGCGGATATATACAGCAGAAGTACGGTACATTATGCAACATTAAACAGCAGTGCAGGTACATTTACACAACACAAACGCGGCTATGAAATGAAATTCAAAACAGAAACTTCTACCATATGATGATTGATGACTGAATCCTTGTAAACATTTTGTAAACACAAATACAAACTAAATAACAGTCTAAATACAAAGAAGTAAACACTGAAATAAATCCACAAGCAATTTATTCATTATCATGGTCAACTTTTTTTATGACAGCAGAACAAAAATGATTCAGTTGCAACTTGTAAAATGTTGTAAGTGGGGTGTTTTTTTTACATATACACTATCTATCTCTCACCTCGCTAAAATGTACTACAAGAAATAATGAAATAATACTGTCAAATGACTTTTTAAAAAATCACTCTTTAATTCGGCTTTGAAAAAACACCTGCGCCCACTCCAACCTATAAGTAGGAGGATGTCTTAAACTCCTCCGGAACATCGCTGTCCAGCTTACAGATCACCTTGTAGATGGCCTTTTTCCAAGAAGGATCGGAATCTTTGGCTGCTGAGATGGCGTTGTAGAATTCCTGTAAAGTGATTTCAGCAACTTCCAGGAACCTGTCAGGAACCTGGAAAACAAGAAGGGTGTGTTTAAATCTCAAGTATCTCGGAATAAAAAATATTCTTCTGTTCATGTGCAGCAGTCTTTAAAAAAAAAGGATTTGTCTTCGGTTTTCCAAAGTATGCGAAATGAACAACAGTAAAATACTTCAAACACTCAAATTGATGAAAGGGTGCTCATTTCTTTGTTGTCGGAATTCACAAAATAAATACATGACAGGAATAATTAACCTTCAGTTTGAGAAGCCGCCTTGTTTTCCTGAATCCAAAGTAAATACTGGTGGGCCTTCTTCCGAGAAATTGTGCCCAGCTCCAAAGAACAACATATGAATGTAATTCCAACAGGAAAATGGGAAGATTTTTTATTTAGAAATGACTACCAAAAGGAATGAGTTCAACTAAATGTTGTGCATTGTTAGGTTAACAGTCTGGGGGTGACCCTAACTCACAGCAGAATTTATCATAACACATGGATAAATCAAGTTTAGATATGAGGGAAAGTGGGAGAAAACCATCCTTCAGCACTTGTTTCCCATCAAATTGCCAGTTTGCACTACAGTTGTTGGCATAAGTTATTTTTCTTTCCCTCATCTGCTGCCACAAAAGCATCCCTGGGAAAGGAATGTCTTGGTCCCAAGGTAAAGAAAACGGTCTCATCCCTTTCCCACCAAACAGCCTTCTCCCTCGGAATCCACAGCGTCTTTCTCAGCATTCCGCATCAGTAGCAATCTCGGTCTCGCTCAGGCGTGCTGGTTCTCTAATCCTGAGTTGTTTTAGTGGGATTTTGCGGCTTCCTCTTCCCACAGTTTGATAAAGCATCACTCTGGAGTTTAGATAATGGCTGTAAAGGCTGGCCAGCCACAGGTGCAGTGTGACACACAGGTCAACACTCAAACATACATGACCACAGCCACACAGCGGTGGACTGACCAACATCTGCAGGCTCCTGACCACTGCAGTCTGGCACTCTGGGCACTTTCTGTTCTCTATAAGAATATTGATCCTAGTCTTATATATGTCTGGTACGCTGTAAACAACAACTGGTTGGCTGAGTGTTAAAGTAAATGTATGAATCTAAATTTGAATATATCCTAATATATGTTATTATATTTAACATATCCTGACTATCGTTTACTAAAGGAAAACTATAACTATATGAGGATTACATTCTCTAAAACAATGAAGAGGTCAAAAGATGAAAAAACAAAGATATGCGCCTAATCCAGGAAAATGTTGTTACGATTAACATGAAAAATAAAGAGTTCGATAAAGATTTTCCCGTGATTACAAATGTGTTTCATTTTAGAAGCACTTTTTGATGGAGCAGGGACAAATGATAAAATACATTTTTCAATTTAAGATGCTCTAATGTATTTATCAAATAATGCTAAATGCATAACATTAAACGTGATTCTTAAAAAATACCTGTGGATGAAAAAAGGCAAAAAGAAAGAAAAAAAAAGGCTGATGCAACAGCGAGTGACGAGCAGTAAGTGACACTTACGTGAAAGTCATTGGCTTTATTGTAGTGCATATTCAGTGCCCGGAAGAGCTCCGAGTCTCTGCTAACCGTAATGTCTTTGACATTGCTGATTCCATCAAGAATGGACTGGCGGGCAAACTTCTCCATTTGGATGTAGTAGAACTCCCTGAAGTTACTGAACCACTTGATCAACTGAGATGTGATGCAGCGATTGAACTGGAAATGGAAAGAAAGTGGGAATTAGGAAAGTTGTATTATTCAGTAGAATTCTCATCACATTGAAAGCAAAGTGTGCACTAAACCCCCCGCGGAGGGAAGAATCCGTCCATCTCGTGAGCATGAATCCCCACATCATACAAAGAATCATCGCTTGCTGTTGACTTTAAATTTTACCCTGAAGATGAAATAATAACTTAGGCCATTTTTGCATTTCTGAGAATTTAGGACAGGCTTCATTGAGAAGTCTGAATGCTGCCCAACAGTTGAAAGGCTGTGTCATGTTTCAGGATTAACAAACCCTCAGCATTGTTTACTTAAAATCTGGATTTAAAATCAGCCAGACAAAATCCCACCTAAAAGTCAGTCCCTACATTCAGCATAAAATTGCTCTGCTCTTTTCCCACCAATGTCAGGGATGAAAAAACATCTGTCAGGACTTTGTTTTTCTAAACTCAGTCTTGACATTAGTCCTGTTATTCTATCTTGTCACCCAGAAAGACAGAAAAAAAATGCCTAAGGGCTGGGCAGGCATCAAAGACGCTTCTTCCCTCTGGTGTGGCGGGTGAGAAAGCGGCAGCATAAGGACAGAAGGAAGCTTCCCTCTCATTGACTCGGGCTGATAGGATGGAATCAGACACTGGGATTATGGGCTCTTTTGTTCAGTGCCACTTCCCACCACAGGATCGTAAGCTAGGAGGAGACGTTCGCAGCACTGCAGCAACAGCATCCTCCCCCTGGCCCGTGGGGTCAGGGGGAGGATGCTGTTGACCGGGACTCCGGGGCCGGCACCGGCTCAAAGATCCAGGGCACCAGATAGGAGATGCGACGGTAGAAAAACGCTGAGAAGTGTTTGGAGGAAATTAGAAGGTGAATCAGATGAGATGAGCCGGCGGAAAAGAAAGCAGCGGAGGCACCAGAGGTGAATGAAAAGGGGTTAAAAAACAGGAGGACACAGTGAAGGAAACAAAAAGAGGATAGAAAGGGATGACAAGGCCAAAACCCACAGGATGTTGTGTTTAGGACCAGCTCATCGCTGCCTGGTTGCAACAGCACAAGTCTCTAATACCAACTCTCTGTTGACACTCAATAGCAATGCCTTTCCTACAGAGTCCTTTGTCACTCCATTTGCTGACTGGAGAGGCTTTTTTTAAAGAGAGAATGCCCCTGTATCTCCCTCTGCCCCCAGGACATACTAGCAGCTCAGTGGCTTTGTCATTTAAACCCTCTGCGTTTTTGTTTATCTCCTCCGACACACTGCAGATTTTTGTTCTGTCTCAAACACACAGTGGCAGGTAGACGCCACGAGGGGAAAACACGGAAAACAAACTAGTCTGCAAATCGTTAACGTGAGAAGTTTTTTTCGCATGCAGAAAAAATTACCTTGACATCAGGGAAGAAGGTCTTCAGGACGTTGGAGGAGGGGTAGCGGGTGTAGAAGAACATGAGCTTTGCCTTCTTCAGATGACTTGGAGTGAGACCCTCCTGGATGTTCACATTAACGTTAAGAAAAGCTGACAATTAAATCTAACACCCAGCACACTGCCGTCTGCAAAGTGATAGTGGACCAGAGTATTGAGTTTCCTCAATCTTCGGCTAAATTGAATTTCACTAAAGAACAGCTTGGCATTAACTAGGGAGTCAATAATGATCCTAACATGTGCTTATTGGCAAAACAGAATTACGAATTAGGTTAGGGATTTTTAATTAGAGAGTCAAGCACTTCATGGCTGGGAGTTAAAACAGCGTGTTTGGAAATGTTTTGAAAGGAGATGCTGATTTTCAGAGGTAACTAGGTTGATTTAAAGACAGCATATGTTGCCATATATTGAATTTCTGAAAAGCTCCACATTAATGATAGTTACTGATAAAACACATTTTTTAAAAAATTTTAAGCTTTTGGCTATTTTCAAAATGTATACAAATTGTTTAAAGAAAGCAATGCAAAATGTATTCAACATGCAATATGTAATGAAACATTTCATTCCTTTGCTGCAGATTTTTCATATTTGTAATTCTGTCACAAGTCCCCCCACTCCCCCCCCACACCCCCACCCCATGGCACTAAAGGTGTGTAGCTCACTACCTCGCCTAAGGTCATAATATCTTCTTATCAGGTCACCACACAACACATTTATTAGGAAATCCTACCTTTGAAATAAGGAAGTTGGGATGAAAGATTTATGTGGCATTGTTCAAAGAGAAGCAGAGCTCTTTGCACTGTAAAGATAAAGCGAATCCTGAGAGGTGCCACTAACATTCCGCTCTATATCCTCGCAATGAGAACATAGACAAGACTCATCACCACCATGCTTTGAATCAGGAATATTTCCTGCATTTTTTTCGCAAAGTAAATTAATTTTGTTGAAGAGCGATGGAAACCATTTTAATCATACTAACACTGTCAGTACAAACGGAATTTAAAAAGGCACACACAGTAGCCACTTTGTCTCCTTAATGAAGCTACTTGATTTACGGTGAGCTCCTCTGGAGAAAAACCACTGTTATCTTGCACTCTGTTTCAATCATATACCTTCTGACAAAGGTATCCAACAACAAATGCTCAAGACAAGAGCTCAAGTGTTATGGTTGGGAGGCACTTGTGGTTTCCACCAGCACTCAGATGTGACCTTTTAGATGCACCCCTATCACTCTGATGATGGAGAAATAGATCCTGCACCTTTTCAAGTCTGAAAAAACGGCCCTTCCTGAAACAGAAACCGAAGCTTTCTCTGCCTTTGAAAAATTGGCTTTTGTTCCTGGCAATTCTTATCAAAGCCTTGTATTCCTTTTTATTTGTCTTTTTCTAGACTTAAAGTCATTACTCTGCTCAGATTAAAGAAGATGCTATAATTTTCCATGGGGTTAGAAAGATCAAAGGAAAAATTCTCCTTGAAGTTTGTTACTGAAACTGCCCCTGTTGAAGTGAACCTCAGCCAGCCATTGTTCAAATAGATGAGCTGAAATATAAAGAGTTTTATCATTAAATAAAAAGGTAAATATTGTATATATAGTACACTATTAAAAGCTATAAAGATCCCACAGTATTACAATGTCCCGCCATGGTCTTCATTGCAAACCATATGATAGATAAATTCTAACATATTCGCATTCTGTTGTTATATTTCTAAAGCATGCAGCTATACATAATCTATCATTGTCATATATGCATGGTTCATGAGTTGTTTGAGAGCAAAGGATATATTGAGGGACATGTAGGGGTTCCGTTCAGCCATGCTCTGGAGCTCGCCACACTCGATCTTGACATGAGGGAGACACAAATTGTCGACGGCCACCGCCCCCAGGGAAGAGGGACGGGGATGGTGCCCCAGGTGACTGGATGTCACTTTCGACCTCATGGCGATAGTGTCCCAGGGCAGGTCCACGGAGTCTGGGGAGGTCCTGTCCATTGACGGAGGCATGCAGGGGAGAGCCCCAAAGCTGGAATGCGGCCCATACTTCAGAAGGTGCTCCAAAATGTGGTTCTCGTGCAGGGGGGTGCTGTAATTCAACTGGAAGGGTGTCTGGTGCACAGCGTAGGGCCTCTTCACAGTCGGGGCGACTGAGCTCACGGGGGTCACCACGGTCGGCTTGCGGACCACCAAAGACAGGGCCTCCGTCTGGTCTTGCGGGCTTTGGGCCTCAGAGCTTTCATAGTACTCCAATGATCTGGATTTCACTGCGGCTTCCTCGGCTTGGGGCTGACTGAGGGCAGAGGTGACCTGCTGGCTTTTCTTGTCTGCTGTAATGCTGATCTGCACCTCTGGCGATGAGCACGTACGCTGCTGAGGGGTCAAACCCATCCCTGGAGAGGACATCTTCTTAAAAACCCTGTCCACGCAGTCATCAACAGCCCTGGAGAGCTCCTGCTTCAGGGTCTCCTGTAGGTTCTGACTCTCGCTTTGGTGAACAAGGTAACCGACTACTTTCATGCGGTCCTTACAGTCTGCCGCCGCCCTGCTGGTCTTCCTCTCAAAATCATCTTCAGTGCTCATGTAGAATGACTCTGTGCCTTCTCCCTGCATGTCATTTTCAGGATCAACATTTGCTGCATCTCTCTTTTCAAACTCCGGATCCTCCTGGTTGTAGACTTGCAGAAACTTCTCCTGGAGCTGGCGCAGGAGTCTTTGCATGCTGTGGAGCTGCTCTTTCAGTTTGTGGCATTCTTCTTCCTTGGTGTTGCAGCGGTCACCGTTGCTGCTGCCCGACTTTCTGCCCACCTGTCCAGCAGCACTGTGCTCCTGGTGTTGAGGCAACCTCTGCTTACGTTTGTTTTCTCTGTAGGATTCCCTGGCCTCCCGGGTGTCTCTCGTGCCTGGGTCAGACCTCTCAGTGTCTCCATGCTGCCTGCCGTTCGGAGATCCAGCCATGACCCTGATAATGTTCTCCACTCTAGCCCTCTTGGCTTGCAGATGGTCGGTCGCTGGGAGCTCCCCCTCTGGGCTGGCTCCTGTGGAAACGTGGCCGCTGGGGGATGACGCCTCCACCGTGCTGTCTTTCGAGGAGACACTGCTCTCGTCCTCCTGGCCGGAGTCAGCGGCGGTGGAGCTGGAGAGGAAAAAGTGGCTTTCTTCCAGGGCCCTTTTGTTATGAATGGTCTTGCGGAGGAGCTGAGAGATGATGGATCCGTTTGAGTAAGAAGCCAGAGGCTCATCGTACATGTTTCTACGGAAGCAGGGCAGCATGACATCAGGTTTGTCATCCTCTTGGCAGCTTTCGCTTGAGCTGTGCATACTCTGATCAGGAAGACTGAGGTTCATGCTAAGTGTGGGTCTTTATATTGTATACGCTGACAATTTTGAGTTGTGTGATACACAAGAACCTGGAAGGAGAGAAATTAAAAGGCTTTCAAAATTAATATCTTACAAAAATCATTAATGTTTAAGCATTTGCTCTGTCTATTTCATTACTTCTCTTTTTGTTCTCCTTTCAATGCTAAGCTGCTGTATGATGTTCATAAAAATAAACGTCCCTTCCTTTGTCGTACAGCCGACAAAGTGGATATTTCAACGATGACATAAAGTGTAAGACGAGTAAGTGAACCTGACTCTTGTATTTGCTATCGTTTTGTCCGTAGAATTATTTATTAAAATTTGTGTTTTGAATTTACAAATCAGAAAATTCTTTTTCAGAAACAGAAAACCTACTATAAATTCCTATGAATGTTTTTTTTTTTTGTATCCTTTCTTCTGCAGGTCATAAAAATAGTTAACCCAGAGGATGAAAAGAACTGAGACAGAGCATTAAAACATCAATTTCAGTTCATAGGATCAGACCTCGCAATAGAAATTACTGCATGGATTATTTACAAGAGAAACAACAGTGAGGCTTTTTTCCCCTTTTTCCCTCAGGCTTTCATTTAATAAAATAATCGCATTATTAAAAAGTGTTTTGCCCATATCTGTAATTTCTCTCTTCAATCCTTTATATTTTAAATTTTATTTCCAAGCAAACATGAATTAACTCAAAATAAAATTTTGCAAAAAACAATTGGAATCAATATACTCAAAAGAATAAATAAGTTTCTAAATCTCAAGTGGAAGCAAATATAGCAAATCAAGAAGTCCACCTTATTTGTACGTGTTAGTTAGACTACTTTTGAATTATTGAATGTATGAATATGTTCAGGCCACAATGCAAAGAAAGAAAAAAAAGACTTCATTTCCAAATCCCAGTGAGCAAATTATATGTTTCCGGCTCAACTACAGCATGAGAAATTAACTGAAAAAAAATAATGGAAAGGATCTCAGGTTATCACACTTGTAATTGACATCCTGAAGAGATACAATAAAAGAGACAAGAGATACAATATGATCGAAATTTTGAGAGAAACAAGCTCAACAGTTTCATCCTGAAAAAGTAACTGAACACATCATTACTCCATGAAGTCATTTATAAGTAATTAAATATTTAATATAGCGAGTTTCAAAGTGACATGTCAACTTAAAAGTCACAAGAGCAACTATTTCTGGTGTCATATAACAATAATAATGTTACTTTAAAAAAACCTATATGAAGTGGCAGAAACTATGCCAATGGCACGAATGAACTTTACCACGCTCCTTTCGGTTATGCGGTTTAATCGCGGCGTTCGGAGACAGAGAGAAGCAGCGATGGGACCTTACCTGTTGCTTTAGGATGTGGTTGTGAGCCGGTGGCCTGTGCAGACTGCGTGACGGCTGGTGCGTGCCTGAGAGTGGAGGCATCAAAGCCGGGGCGTGGCCATGTGAGGGCGGTGAGGTGGTCAGGGGCTCATCAACACCCAGACATAGTCCTCCCAGAAGTGACAGCCGATTCGAGATGTCTCACTATTAGGTTTCAGAACGGATGCAGTGAAACCAAGTCTTAAAAGAGAGGCAAGATCTGATTCTTTTTCGTAGCTTTCAACCATCGTGTCTTAATGGTGTGTTGATTTTTAACACAGGTGAAAACGCCAGGTAAATAAATGAGTCATGGGGGAAAAAAAACTTGGTGCATGATTGACTATTTTTTATAAAATACTACAGCTGAATTATTTGATTTGCTTCCTGGATTTGATTTGTCATTTGAAAAGGTAACCCAACATCCGTATACAACCGCTCATTGTACAGCCTTATTTTTCTGGATCATGGAAATGCTGTGTGTCACAAAAAGGCAATAAGACAATTGAATGGGTATATTTGAAGCCTGATTCTCTTTATGTAACCTAATAAAATATATAACAAAACCTGCAATTGGCTTTAAATGATTTTGGATTACTTCAAAATTGACAGGTCAGAAATGTTAGTTTTGCTAATTTTACGTCTCAAAACCTTTCAAATAAAGTGAAAATATCTTGTTCAAAATTTGCAAACCGGTAAATAAAACCTTCAGAGTGCATATACATTTTTCTATATGCATTCGGTTTTGTATTATGTTTATTTTCTTCTTGCGAAAGCTTTTGTCGCTGCTTTTTTGCCTCATGGAATATTTATTTTAACACTCAAAACAACCTTTCGTCGAGGTAAGCAACAAGGTATACGTAACTTTTTGCTGACCCTCAACAGGTCATCTGAGGTAGGAAATTACTTTGATGACCCTTACAGTATCGTAAACTTAATGGTCAAGACAAGTAAAGTTTATTTATAAAACAAGTTAGAATGCACGACTTGAATGCTGAAGTCTGATTGATGTATTTGTGGTCAAATTTAATCAATAAAGCTATTCAAATCATCCTTATCCATTAGCAGTTCACTGTTATTCTTACACACTTTAACAGTGTCAAAAAGTGATTATAGTAGTCATTTGTTTTTATAATTTGCTATTTATCATGGCATGCCATCCTGCCCTGCCCAGAAGTTGTTACTAGTGAGCTTGTCTGCGTGGTGGAATGGTTTATGCGGTCCCCAGTGTGAGCTCTCCCCCCCTCCAGTTGGAACATTTGGTTTAACCTACGCTGTTTCCGTTGCTCTTGCGCGTGCCCAGCCTGTCTTGTCGTTGTGACCGGAGTTTCCCTTCCGCTGACAGGTTGCTGTCACTCAGCGAACATGTTATCCCATTCCCGGTGTCTCACCAGGAATTTTGGCCGTTCCCTCTCTGCCATCCGCCAGGTAGGCAAGAAACAATGAAATAAAACTAAACCACTCGCTATGAGGCTCCTCGCTGTGTCCTCTGCGGGTGAAGCCATATCTTTTACTTGCCTTGCGCTGTCCATGCTAGCATTAGCATACGCTGCTATAGGCCACGGTCAGGCCGTAACATTGTGTGCCAAGGACAGTATGACACTTCCCTGCTTAAGCCTGAGCAGCAGTTTCTATTAAAGGTTTTTACGTCAGCGTTTGATATGTTCAATATGTGCAAAAAGTAACCACTCTGTGGTCACGTGAAGTCAATGTTCACTTTTAAGAATATGTATGCACCTCTAGAGAACCTGCTAGCCACACAGAGCTAAAAGTATGGCTAGCCGCTCATAGCTGTCATTATGCTGAGGTCATATTATGTACAATAAAAAAACGAGCATCCTATCTAAGGAGTTTAAAATATTCACTTAAATTTCCAGTTGTAGTGTACTATTCTTTAATATGTTAAAAAGTTATGCACTGTAAAATAAAATGCCTCTGTGATTTGAGTCCAAATTCATTCTAAGTTTGTTTTGAAGGTTATAAATAGTTAATTTAACTTCAGTGCTTTTAAATTGACTCCTAAAATAAACCAGTTGTTATGTCATTAACAGTCAAGCTCGTTAAGGAAGTCTTTATCCAACCTGATGTCAGTGAAATAGTTCCATAATGTCAAAGGTCAGTTTATCCAGTGGGAGTGACTTTTGACCGTTAGAACCAACCTGTTCTCCTTTCCTCACTGGCAAATATTTTTCTACTAATATTGATTTTTGATGTTTAGGCTAACCAACTTTTAAAACGTTTAAAATTACTTACACCTTATACATTTTGACTTTTGACTTATACAATTTAACCCTGTTTGTACAAGTATTGTGTGAAAGTTGCAGATCATTTCTAACATTTGATTGTCCCAACAGGGGAATAATGTGTTAGCCCGCCGGGCCACAGCAGGTATGTGCATTTAGTGCTCACATTTTAGATCAACCTGTTCTCTTTAAAAGCTAATTTACATTTTCTCTTGCCTTTCCTTTCACAGTTCTATCAGCTAGCCATCCAGCCACTGTCAACAGCGATTTGTAAGCGCACACACTTGTTTAATTAGAGATAAACTGTCAGAAACAACCATTTTTATCACGTTTCCCCTGTGATAAATGCAATCTCCTATTTCTTTGTCTGATTTTTGTTTTTACTTTAGAAAATATAATCCCCGATCCAATGTCTTCCAAATCCAGTACTTCAGGACATCTTCAGCCTACAGTATGGTTTAGCTTGTTTTATTTATTTTTTTTGTACACATTTGGATATAAACCAGAGTCACTGATGAAGAATCAGCTTCATTTGCTATATCTTTGTCCTTCAGGGGATGAAGTTGTCACTGTCAAGACGCCTGCATTTGCGGAGTCTGTCACAGAGGGGGATGTGAGGTGGGAGAAAGGTAATGCCTATGACTGATTAAAAGGCATTAGCTGCGTTTAATACTGACACTATCTAAATGCTGAAACTTTTTTGTTCTGCAGCTGTTGGAGACACTGTCACTGAAGATGAGGTGGTGTGTGAAATTGAGACAGATAAGGTAAAAAAAAAAAAGATGTTTGTGCTTTCTGTCATGTAGATGTTATTTCATTTATTGGCTAATTGTTACTTGAAGGATTGTTGACTTTTTTTGCTTGCACGTCAGTGTTATTTATGACTGTAATGTGAATTTCAGTGTTTAAATAGTGATTTCTCTTTTGTTTCCCATACTTTTAGACGTCGGTGCAGGTTCCCTCTCCAGCTGCTGGAGTGATTGAGGAGCTTTTGGTTCCTGATGGAGGGAAGGTTGAAGGAGGAACTCCACTTTTCAAGCTTAGGAAAGGAGGTCTGTGGGATTGGATTAGGCTGACCTGAAATTTCAAGTTTGAGCCTGTTTGCATGCTAACTTTCTCCTCTTCTTCTTTAAACACACACATATATATATATATATATAATTTTTTTTTAACTTTAATTTAACTTTTTTTTTTCAAGCTGGTGCTCCCAAAGCTGCAGAAGCTCCAAAAGCTGAGGCTCCAGCTGCTGCAGCCCCTCCACCACCTTCTGCTGCACCCCCTTCACCCCCACCTCCTCCTCCTTCAGCTGTAGGCCCCATCCCCACTACCATGCCCCCTGTGCCACCCGTGCCAGCACATGCTATGGCCACCAAACCAGGTTAGCAGTTGGCTATCTTTCTTCGATTAAACACAATTTCCATGTCTGAAATACATACATATATATATACATATATTTTTTTCATAGTTTCAGCCATCAAGCCCACTGCTGCTCCATCAGCTTCAGCAGCCCATGCAGAGGGAGGGGTTAAAGCAGCAAGGACAGAAAGCAGAGTAAAATTAATAACTCCTACCACTGCATTTACTTGCATATAATTGAGTATCATTTGTTTACTAATGTTGTAATGCGATGAAAGACGTGGAAAATCTTTACTGCGACTAATAACAGATGTTTTTTTTTTTAGGTTAAAATGAACCGCATGAGACTGAGAATTGCCCAGAGACTGAAAGAAGCCCAAAACACCTGCGCTATGTTGACTACGTTTAATGAGGTCGACATGAGGTAGAAAATTCTGTTATTAGCTGACCCACATTATCGAAACCATAATGCTGATATAGATTGTGTATGCACAATGTGCTCTGATACTTTGACATTTGAAAATCAGAAACTGGGGGAAGAAGACAGAGAAAGATCAGTCTTGTCCAAATATTTATTTTTTGTTGCAGCTGATATATGGTTAGAGCACTAGAGGTATATCCAGCCATGATGTGTTATTTCCATATTTATCTGCGTTAAAAGCCAAAACAACATCGGCACAAATGGTTATAGATTGGAATCTGCCCAGTAGGAAAAGCTTTTTGAAACCTGATATCCTCTTAAACACTGGAATGTAAATATTTGGTCATAATTCCATCTAAAACGAAGATAAGAATTGTTAAAACAGGTTTTATTAATTTACAAGGAAATGTTATTGTCTGCTCTTGCCCCCTGGACCGAAGAGGACACTTTGAGGATTTCTTTTCCCCACAAATGTGTGGTGTCAGCTTTCAGCTATTCAGGGTTTTCTATGTATCCTAATTGGATTGACATTGACGGTCTGGACGAAGACTTCCCAGGCAAGGGCTCATCTGGAGCCGAAGGAACTGGTCAGAACAGGAGGCTGGAGCATCTGCAGGGGCCCACAGAGACCTGTGCTCTGAGTGGAAGAGCTGCCTGAACCGATATGGGCTTTTATGACAGCCCAATAAGATTTACAGGCCCTAGAAAGTGAAGATTTTTATCGCTTCTTCTCTCCTTTCTCGGAGAGTCTGTGTCTTGGGAGGGGCTAATTATGTTAGGGGAGAAACCCTAGAGCTTCAACAGGGTTAGAGACAGGAAAACAAACAATTAAAAAGAGAGATACAAGAGAAAAATGAGCAATAACGAAACAATTAGCAGGCCAACTTTAATAGCTTTATTCACTACTGTCCACTGCATTATTATTTTATACCCACCCAAAAAAAAGAAGCACATTTTCATTTGAAAGTGGTTGGATTTTTCTGGATATGAAGTTGTTTTGCTCAAATTTCTTACTATATTTAACAAACTGTTGTTTTTTTAAACCAATATATTTACTGAGTCTTAAGTCCCTTTTTTCAACTCTGCATGTTGTCTTTAAGCCAGATTTATTTTGTTGATCACCACAGTTTCCCTTTTTTCCTGCAGCAACATCTCAGAAATGAGGAAGACTTACAAGGATGCCTTCCTGAAAAAGCACAACATCAAGCTGGGCTTCATGTCTGCGTTTGTGAAGGCTGCTGCTTATGCGCTAGCCGACCAACCAGCTGTCAATGGCGGTATGAAATTAATCCTTTAAGAAAAAAAAAAAAACATGGCAACATTAAGACATCAAGTCATGACAAGTGGGTATGGTGAGGAACAGGTTTCAGAATCGTTCATAGCCAAACCTCAAAACCAACCTATTTACTTGCTCTAGACTACCCTGACCTATTTAGACAAACCACAGTGAAAGGGGGTTGTCCATATAGCTGCCTTTTTAAGATCTATAATGGTCTGTGGGTGTTTTGTGCCACAACTCTTGCAAGACAAGAACCTGGTCTCCAGCAGTAAAAAATAACGATGACGATCGAATCACGACATGAATTTTCCTCCTAACAATTTTAATGTTTTATGTTTCCAGTAATTGATGACACAACCAAAGAGATTGTGTACAGGGATTATGTTGACATCAGTGTGGCTGTAGCCACGCCAAAGGTAAGATAAATGGATCCCATTATACAAGTATAAGTGCTTCATAGCCCTTTTTTTCTGGAAAATGAAACAATAATGTAATAATGTGGCTCCTCTCTCAGGGTTTGGTGGTTCCTGTAATTCGAAATGTAGAGGGAATGAACTTTACCGATATTGAGAAGGCAATCAATCTGTTGGGAGAAAAGGTATTATTTCTTGTTACCTATTGAGACATTTCCAGCTTGTTCTTCTGGTTACATGTCCACTTGTGTGACTGACTGGACTGTAATTGTGTTCGTAGGCCCGTAAGAATGAACTGGCTGTTGAAGACATGGATGGAGGCACCTTCACCATCAGCAATGGTGGCGTGTTTGGGTCCATGTTTGGCACACCTATAATTAACCCACCGCAGTCGGCTATTTTAGGCATGCATGGCATCTTCGACAGGCCTGTTGCAGTCGGTGGCAAGGTTGGTGTCTTCACTAATACACAGACACAAACTTCTAATCACGTTTTATTCATATAAAGGGGACAGGACCAGGTGTTGTGGAAGAGTAGAATGTTGGAAATGAAAAAGTGTTTAATGTAACAGTGTTTCATTGCTGTTCACTGATCTGCACAAAGGATATACATCAAAGCAAATATATGTTTTCTTCAGGTTTGATGGTGAAGAGGAATTCAAATGAGCTCAGTGACCCTTTCACTCTCCTGCTCTCTGTTTTTGATGATGTTAAAAGACTTCTTTCTCTTTTGTCCAGGTTGAGATCCGTCCTATGATGTACGTTGCCCTGACATATGATCATCGTCTGATTGACGGCAGAGAGGCCGTCACTTTCCTGCGCAAGATCAAGTCAGTGGTGGAGGATCCCAGGGTGCTGCTTCTCGATATGTGAACCTTGTTCAGCTCCAGGCCCATCCAAACAAACCACCCCACACAGTGACTGTTCTCACCTGGTGAACATTACCATACCTGCAGTTCTTGTATTGTTGTATCGTTTAACTAGGAAAAAAGGCTTTGTGGTTAACAGTTGGGTTGTGCAATGGACTTTTGTAAGACTGGGATGGATAAAAGCTCTGAAAATGTTATGGAGAAATGTTGGGATCTGGGGTTTCTGGTGCTGGTCGTTAGATCAAAGAAGAATATACTATAATAACTTGCTCGCCAAATGTCATTTTCTACATACAATTGAAGAATTTTCCAACTTATTGTGAGATGACAAGCAAGTATAGATAAAACTGCATATTTTGATTTTAATGTTTTGGATGAGAAAAGAACAATGACCACATATTGGGCTAAAAAACAAGAAACACTATGTATTATTATCTCCAAAGTAAGAAAAAGAAAAAAAAATCCACTGGGATTTATGCCATCCAGTTCACAAAATACCAGTATGAGGAAAAAATCTCTATTTGCTGTGTAAAACAGATTATTTAAGAGAAGTTTTAAACAATAAAAAGTTCACTACCCAACTGAAGCTTTTGTTTGTTGTTTGTTTTGTTTTTTTGGTCGTCCTTACATTTTCAATCTTTTATAGGAACATTTTAAAGAATAGACCAGGAGTTAATGCTGTGGATAACATGATCAGTTCGTTTTACTCTAGAGTATAAACTTGCTGCAGCCTTTGTGAAAGGTTGATCAACAGATTTTGAATGCTTTCTTATGCATTTTTTAAAAGGCCCGTGCTAAACAAAAAGATGAGATTATTTCAGAAGAAACATTTATGCTCATGAAGAGGGAAGAAATAGAATACCAGCTCATGGGTTCCAGCTTTTGTGTGACGATAGGACCGGGTAGATATGAGATATGGGTGACTGAACGTTTTGTAATTTCTCCATTGCTGCGGTGATCAATTACTTATTGATTTTGAATACGGAAATAAATCTACTGATTAATCATAACCCAATACTTTATTTACTGTCAAGAAGATTGAACAATGTATTGCTTCTTGATGCTTTCTTACAACAATAATTGATAGTAGACCAAGAATTGTCTCAATTTTGGTTTGTGCAGAGTTTAGTCAACATGCATGGACATGGTAATGTTCCTTTGTAAACAATAGCTATCAAAACGGCATTGAATGTATTTTTAAGTTCCAATATGAATCTAGCCTCAACAGGATCCCTGTTGTGGATGTATTAGGTCTCAGTGAGAAACACATAGTGTAAAGGTGTGCTGAGCCATTGTTTCCACAGTCGGATCCCGTCCTGTTTATGCTCAGGTGAGTCCAGGTGAGACGAGCTGCAGCTGTTAGCAAGTTAACGCCTTCCAGGACACTCCGCCGAAGAAAGGATGACACTTGATGTCACAAACTCCTCCACCTCCTGAACCCAAGCGATAGCCAGCATCGAACTGAAGCAGCTGTGGATCAGAATAGCATTCATCGATGTGATTGTGTCAGTGTCATTTTAATGTTCATTGACCAAAATCTATTGCAACAGAAGCTGTGTTTACCTCTGTGAGCAGAGATGCTGCTGCGGCGCTCAGGTGGTCTGGGATGATCAACTGGGTGTGAGAGTGGATTCCTGCAGGATGGAGCTGCCACAGAGGCTGGAGAGGCGCATAAATACATTTACTATAAAACACATTTTTTAAACTAAGAGCAGTGCAGAATCTCCTGGATTCTGTATATGGATGTTGATCTTTTAGCTTACCATTCCTGTTAGGAGCTCAAACAGCAAAGCCCCGAGACTCCACCAATCACAAGCCTCTGTCACTCTGGACACTCCACCAATTTCTGTGAGAGCACAACTGTGTTTATGCCACAAACAAATTCCCCATGTACAGTATGTTCGTCTTTTCATGTCCCCGCAGAGGATGCTCCTCGCCACTAGGTGGCAGGTTACGGCAGCTTTTACCTGGAGCACAGTACATCTGCTCCATGGCCTTGGAGCTTATTTCTGACTGGACTTCACTCCACTGGCTGAAAAATGTCAAACACACCTTTCCTGTGGAGATATTGCACCAAATTACAAGTAAAGTTGAGAGATTTTCTCCGTGTTTCTATTTTGTTCCTCATGTATTTGATGGACTCACCGTTGCTCGTGAGCAGAACGTTTCTCGGGTTGAGATCCCGACACAGGACGCCCTGCTGATGCAGACTCTCCAGGGCCAGCAGTATTTGGGCCCCCCACACACGCACCTCTGACTCTGGAAGCCCCCAGTAGCTCTGCGTGGACTTTTCTACGGGTCTGGAGGACTTGACAGGGAATCGGGGCAGGTGGCACCAGCCATCCACCTCTATGATCTGGTCTTCTTCATGCCTTTCTGGTCCACCTGTTTTAAGAAAAGTGTTCACATCCTCTCTCCGCCCCTGGGGTGTGGATCCAGGAGGGGCTGAGGAGAGCCAACCTACACGTCCTCTCTCTGCTTTAGCCTCACAACTCGTCTCTACACCCTCTTTTACTCCACTTAAAGGTTTTTCACTTGTGTGTTTGACCCCTGAGAGGCCCGAGGGAACCCCTGATAATGTCGGTTGTGTTTCTGTGCTGCTGGGGCAAGGGGTCGCGAGGTAAGGCCGAGGACTTTCCACATCGATCCTCGTGTCCATTTGGTCAGAGAGCACTGCCCTGTCTGTGCTCTTGACGACTACCATCCCGTTTCTCTCCTCTGCAGTGGGACTGCCGTTGTCTTCCTTAGAGTCCGTATCTACTTCTGCAGAGTGACTGCTAAAAAACTGTCCATGGTGAGAACCATTGGTATCCCATGATGCCCTGCCTCGGATTTGGGTTTGGCAATGGAGAGGGAGATGCAAAATGGCAGGAGAGGAACTCAAACTCTTATTTTCACCATTTGACGCTCCTGTTTTTGTGTCTGAGGTCTGATTTGTACGAGGTGCAGGTTGTGCGAGCGTTCTTGTTAAGTCACGGTCAGTCACTGCATAGGGGTTTATAGTCTCACAGTTGTGTGCGGGATCCGCAGCTTTCCAAGCCTCCTCGAAGTCAGAGCTGCACTCTAACAACCCGGTCCCGGCTTGCTTTTGTGGGAGGTCCGACATAACATCAAGAGCTAAACTGACGCGGGCGCAAGAAAGAGGAAGAGCGGGCTTTTCCTGAGTTTCACTGGGGTGCAAACATAAACTGGGAGCTGGTGGATGGATGTGGGTACTGACCTGCGTGCTCATGGGACCAGAGAGCAGGGTCAGTCGGTCTAGTTTCGTGTAAAATGACGCAGCGGAGCGCGTGTTCTGCAGGCAACCTGTCTCCTCGATGTAAGAATGAGTCCCGCAGCTTTCCATTCGCCGCTGAGTCTCATGCCACAATGTTGGGAAGTCAGTATCAGGGCTCTCGTCGCTTAATTTCTGTGGAAGGACTGCCGTACTTCTGCCGCTGTGCTGGTAGTCTGTGCTGATTGTGGGGGAGGTGAAGCTGGTCTTCATTTTGTTGATGCTCCGGCCGGAAGTGAAGCACTCAGGATGTTCCTTGGCCTTCTCATTTTTCCACTTATGTAACCTGGAGAAGAGCCTCCCGCCTAGATAAAGAGAAAAATAGTGATGTTGCATTCCATTCGTTCAATAGTACAGTGTAGAAATACACCAGTTTTCGACGTTCCTGTAAAGAAATTCCTGCCAGAGGCTGCTATATCAATCCAACAGTTTTATCAAATTCACCTTTGACATATTCAAGATGCAGGTACACGGCATCCTCGCTGACATAATATCTCAGCAGCTTAACCATGTACGGGACTCCTTGAGGAATGATGGTTGGCTGGTCCCTGCTCTCCCAGCTCGATTTGACCAGGCTCTGCAAAAGCAAACGCGCATAATGACCGAAAGGCCTGGGTGCAATCTCTTTGTCTGGAAACACAAAAAAGATGAACTGCTGCTCTGATCGTCCACTTAGAAACGTGTGCTTGTACTTTGCCTCCATTGTAATTTGAGGTGCACTTGCACTGACTAAAAGGGTGAGAGCTGCCAGGCAGATCAATGCAGGGTGATACTCAGGGAGACAGGATGGAGAGATCCTCCATCGACTGGCTCTCTATAGAGTACGAGCAGTGTCTTGCTGTCAGACAGCATCAGCTGATGGATGCTGGCCAATGAACATGTGATTTTAAAAAACACATTTTTCGTGTTGTTTAAAGTCAATCCCACTTTTTAGTTGGGAGGGCCTTCTTACCTTTACAACAAATGTCTCTTTGTTGACCATACTTTGAACAATCAAGACCTTTGGAAAGAAAATAAAGATCTTCAGACACCTCACAAAAGCAGGTATTAGTATATTTTTACTATTAACAGCTTTGGTTTGAGTGCCATTAATAGTTGCTATTATATTCTCTTTAGCTAGCTAAATCTTTAGCTAACTCTTACATTGCAATAACAGCGCAGCAAGTAGTAAGTTGGTGTACGGGACCGAGTTTATCTGACCTTATCATTGACTCCCACAACTTTACACATCTCCAGGTCTTCTACGGGTGAACTCAGGTGTCTGATTGGACGGAACCTTAGACTACTGTAGCCCTGGTGATAAAACCCACAGATGATGTTGTCAACATTGGAAACTTTACAAAGATAAAATGATGAATAAAGACACTGCTGAGATGATTCACCAAATCAAATGTCCTGCGATTGAATTTCTTACCCCCAGATGAGAGCTTCCCTTTCCCAGGTTATCATGTAAATGTGTTATGAAGATTTCCTCTGCCCTCTTCAGATACTGGGTTGTCTTCCTCTTCACTGCCTCCCGTCGCTCTTTGTTGGGGTCCACTATAAAACAGACAAACATCAATAAAAAAAGCCACACGATTGTGATGAATCTCACAGAACTGTCCTGCTGCACTCCAACTGACCACAGCAAATAAATGGAAAGAGAACAAATCTCTTATTAAATCCTCAACTTCCTGTTTTTATTCATGTTCCCGTGACCTGTCTTTCCACAGTCACTGACTCACTAAATCTTAAAGACAAAATGTCCACTCACACTGAACACCATTCAGAAGTAGGTCCACTCCGTTCTTGTAATAACTGAAAGCTGCTTCGTAGTCTTCATTGACCTCGCTGTCCAGCGCCATGCGGATCTGCTTGGCCGCCTCCACCAGGTAGTCTCTCTTTGCCATTGTTTTGAACGTGTCAAGGTCCAGATGGGCCTGTTCACAGCACAGACACACAAACCGCTGTTAACCAGTCGGAGCAAATACCCGAGACATAAACAAGCCACTTTATTAGGTCTGAAAAAGAAAGTGAATCTTAAACCTCCATAAGTGAATCACACTGCTGCAGTTCAGCTTATAAAGCCACTTCACACGCCCTGACTTTTCTGTTTGGCACTCACCTCTGCTCCTGTGTCCTATCAACAGCGGGACACATCTCTGTCTGTTGTCACTTTGCTGTGTTTGTGTCTGCCCCACGTCACTGAAAGGCCCATGTTTTTGCAGCAGGGCATGATCATCCTCTAAATCAGTGGAAACGAAGAGTTAACCAGAAGAACAGGAAGTGAGTGTGAGCTTGTTCCTTCTATTTTAAATGAATGGAAAGCAACAGTGCTGCAGACGTGCTGGATGACAGGGAAATGACTCAGAGCTCGAAGGCTCATTATGTTGTGTCTCAGGGTAATTGCATTATTTACATTATGACCAACACCCTAAAGAAGCCAAAGAAAAGATTGAACTCTCCAAAACGTGATAGAGAATCCATATCCCACACAGGGATACCACAAAGATTTACTGTGGTCAAATCAGTTGAATTTTGCCATTTGCCATAAGCAAAGAAACTCTGTTTGAGAAGAATTTAGGAAAGCCTTAACCATTGTGCCACATACTTTATAACATCAGACACATGTATTGCATAACACTGAAGGATGTTTCTGATTAGAAAACCATCTGTATCTGAAAATCTGACGACGCTGCCCACAATTTAACCACAAAGTGAAATACAAAAAACACTTAAATACACATCCTAGTCATGGATGCGACGTAGTCTAAGCAGTGTGAAGAAATACACAAAGCCACCTTCACCCTTCCTCCATTACTGGCCACTATTCTTAGCACGTGCCTCCGTAGCAAGTGAGCCAGCACATCATTTGAACAAACGAATCCAGCAGAAAGAGATTCACACGATGTACCTGGTGTGAGGCGAGCATGGCCTGGACCCTCCGCCCCAGCATCAGCATCAGCACCAGCAGCGATCGCCTGTGTCCCCAGCAGCCAGAACACTCATCCCACGAGCCAGAGAGGATGGAGAGAGCCCAGGCGAGGTTGCCGATTGGCTGAGCGTGATGTCACTTTAGGGTACCATTTTGCACAAGGCGCTCTCTTCCCCCTCCCCTCACATCCTGACAGCTGCTGGGAGATTTAAAGAGACAGCGCTGTTTTTTTTGCATACACTGAAAAGTGTGTCATCCCCCGATTTAATATTGAAAATGGACAGAGTGATTTCAAGATTGACATGAAGAAATAACACTTTAAATAACTACAAAAATGATTGCCTAGCATTTTGAATGAAAGGCCCCCCCCCCCCCCTTGCTGAATTCATAATCTGCTGGGTTTAAACGTTTAGTACCAGATGGAACCAGGCTCCATCTGCAGCACAAAGGAGAGTCCCCCGACCACAGACACAGCCTCAAGGGAGGGCTGATTTACAGAAGGGGGGAGCATGGCACTGACATCTGATACAGCACCTTATCCACAAAGCATAGAAGGAAGAGTCCTTTTTCTATGTTAAATGTAAATGTTAAAGTTTTTATTAAATATTGATTAAGTAATTTATAATTTATGAATTTTTGTTCAGTCAATTTTTTTAATACAAATTATTTATTCTTTGTCCACTTTAGTCATTATACTGTCATCATTACTGAATCCTAATTATACATTCTCCATCTCCCGTGTCGTTCCTAGCACTTCCTGCACACCAAAGGTCTACAACTTCAGTATAAGTATAGTATATGCTGTAGTGCATCAAAGAAGAAAGGTAATTCATTTGAGTTTCACTTTAAGGTGCGTACCCTTAAATCCACTGTGGAGCTCAGCAATGCTGAGAATATCGGAGAGCGAACCATTCTGGTGAACTCAGAGTGGTGAAGCCTCAGATGGCTAGATCTTCACAGTTTAAACAGCCTATCCCAACATATTGAAGGTTGCAGCACCGTCACAGTTCTGCCGGCCAAGGCCCGTGTCAGGATACACACCTAACAATACATTTAGCTCACAAACTCAATGTGTCTGCAGAATCATCCATGACAAACTTTATTAAAGCAGGGCGGATACGAAGAATCCAAATGAATAAAAGAATCCAAATGAATAATTTACATCATTGTTTTTGATAAAAACAACGGATGTATAACAATAATTTTACATAGCAAAAACCCCCAAAAATTCTATATGTCAGGTTTTGACGTTACTTGACCATTTTTCTTGGATCCTTTGAGTCTTTATTTGTGCGTTTTTTTGCTTTCTTTTTCTTTACTTTCTTCGTACTGACTTGAACCTCTGGCTGCTTGGCATTGAGAGCAGGTCTGGACCTGGTCAGGCTGTCAGTAGTGGGACTAAGTTTTCTGTGGGCCATCTCTGGATCAGAGCAAACTCCCTGAGCAGAGATAGGCTTGCTTGGCATAGAGAGAGGAGAGTCAGCCATCAGGTTGGGTTGTGAGTAGGAGCGCATTGCCGGGGAACTTGTGGGACGATAAGGTGAGATGCCTCCTATCACAGGCAGGTGGACATGCTCATTGCTCAGGTTAGAGACAGAGTAACGGCTGCTATTCGACATGACAATGTGATGCCAAGAGCTGAGGGGGGTGGCTGAAAATGGTTGAAGGCCACCCATCTCCTCTCTGGCTGCTCCTGGAGAAATAACCATGGAGCTGCGCGGTGTGACCGCCTCCACAGCACTCTGGAAGGTTTTCAGGATGCGATCACTCTTCTGCTTCTCTTTCTTCTGGCGGGACTCAACCTTCCTAAGCTGGCGACGTTGGTTTCTCATCATTTGTTTTCTGGTATCCGCCAGTCCCCTGTGCATAAACACCAGATAACAAGTTCAATTCCCTTTCCCTGTCATACGCATACATCCACTTTTTAAAACATAATATTTTAAGGTGTTGGTTAGGGTGAAGTCCTGAGTAAGTTTCCAGCTGATACCTAAAACAAACTAGCTTATAATTTAACGTCAAATACTAATAAAACTATGTGATTGTAAAAGCATCATTGCCCACTATGCCCCAACAATAAATCTATTCAGAGGGTTTATTACAATAAGTGTAACCAAACATGGGAAATACTCGCCTGTAATCCACGATTCCGGTCCTGTCCCGATCAAGTCTCCGAATAAGCTCCTCAATCTGGTATCGATCCAAAGGAATGCTCGATTGCTAATTGTTTCACACAAGCACAGACAAATGTATTGATTTTGAATCAGGAATTATTTCAGAGGTCAAACCTATCACTTTCGGTTATTGACATTCATCATCCCAAATGCTCAGGCTAAACTCTACACAGTTCTACATGTTGATGTTCAGGAACCTGAACCGCCCTCCTGAAGTCAGCAACAGGGACTCGCATGGTGCCATCTTTGTCAATATTCCGAAAGAAATCCCACAGGCGCAACTTGCGGTTATCAAGATAATCCTTGAAAAAAATTAAGAGGAGAGGTTTTTAACATATTAAAGAAAAACGTACATCAGAAGTCTTTTTTATGAAAGTGAATGCACATTTTTTTTCATGATTGCTATTAGAATTACTATTTGTTTCTCTAAAATATTCACCCAGACCTAACAGACCTGGATGACCTTCATTGGATCAATTTGTTTTGGTGGCTTCTTAGAGATGGAGCCTCCCACACCTCCATACTGCACATCCAGACCGGGGTGCTCCTGACACGTTAACTCCAACAGATTCACAAAGTTCTCATCAACCTGTACATTCTATTGCGATAAAAATACAAAACATAGCATATATGTACTTTGACATTTGACAAGAAACCATTCCGTCTTTCTCTCATGAACACAAACTGAGGTGTGCAGCGTAATTTGCTGAAAAGCAAAAGCAAAAAAATAGAAAATAATGAGATGGCAGAGGAGCTGTCACTCACACAAATATTGATCTCTTCCAGGGCAGTTTTAGGGGTCTTCTTCACCACATTGACCAGGGCCAATGCACCCTCTACTGTTAAAGAATTATAAGCCAACTACAGGAACAATAGAGCAAAACATAAAGGTAAAACGTTCGGTAACAGTGTATACGAAGAGCTGACAGTAAATGCAGGCTGGTAAAACTCTGTCCACCCACCAGCAGTACCCGAAGCGTGTCATTGTATTCAAGACCCCTGCACAGCATGCTGACCCCCTCATTTGTGAGGCGGTTGTTGTTGAGGTTGAGATGCACCAGAGTGCTGTTGAATTTGAGGGCCTCTCCCATGGCCAATGCTCCCTCGTTTCCAAAACCGTTCCACGATAAGTCCAGGTGTTTTAACATTATATTCACCTAAAACCGGACACACTGTGAGGGGATAATGCAGACTCGTGTGGCCAGGGATTAAATGCATTTTGTTTCACAGCCATACCTTCAGTCCAGCGCTAAAGGCAACAGACCCTTTCATTCTAAGATGATTCCAGCTGAGGTCCAGCACCTCTAAGCTTTCATTGTTTGCTGCCAAACACACAAAGGAACAAAGAAAGAAACCGATTAGAGCAGAGGGATATAGCTGCTGTAACTGCTGCTGCATCTGTTTGCTCAAATGCAAGCAAAACAAAGGATTTGTTCAAATTAAAGAGCCAAGGAAATGTACAATACCAAGAAGCTGTCCTAAATGCTCCCCTCCCCTTCCACAAAACCCATTGTGGCTCAAGTCCAGTTCCTTTATCCTTGAGTTGGACTGAGTGTAAAAATAAAAGCAAAGTGAAAACTCTTGATAAACGCTGTCAATAGTAAATGAGTAGTCAAGATTAAACTACAGTCAATTGATCATTTTAATAAGTTAATTCAAAACTTACTGACAAGGAATCTGCAAAATATTTTGCATCGTCATCTGTGAATCCATTTCCTGCGTGTGAAAAAAAGACCTATTTAACCGTGTGGAAACTAACACTTTAATCCACAATAAAAATAGATCATTATTACAATTAGTGTAAATTATTTGGTCTGGCATTTTAAAATGATTTCCCTTCATTTAATCCTAGAAAACACTAAAACGTGTAAGGTCTATAGTTTCTCACCTATGCTCTATCATTACCTGAAAGTTTGATGGATTTTAGGGAATTATTTTCCAGCAACATTTTAGTCACATGCTCAGCTCCAGCAGTCTTCAAATGGTTGTTAGACAAATCCTGTGCCAATAAAATAAGATAAATATATAAAAGTTAGGTTTTATTTTTTAAATTATTACTTGTAAGACTCTTATGCCCTCTAGTGGTCAGTTTGAAGTACTTCATACCAGATGCTGAATAGTGAAATTAGCCCTCAACATTTCCACCAGGTATTTGGCTCCTTCAGCTTGAATGTTATTGTCTGCCACTTCCAGGGTGTTAATGTGCATATCAGTCTAAATACAAAAAGTTCATCAGACCCATTAATCAAAAGAATCTCACTCTTGAAAAATGTGCACCCTAAACTCACCACTAATGCAATGGCGAGTGCTTTGCACCCCAGTGATCCAAGCCCATGGTGGCTGAGTGTCATGGTTGAAGAGTCCAGGTTTCGGATAAAGTAAGAGACGGGAACTACGCCCACCAGTTTGCATGCCTGCATATACACCTCTGCCACAGACATCTCCCTCTTCTTGTCCTTCTTGGTCTGCTCTTGGTCTATAATTCAGGCAATTCAAAGTGAGACAGCAACACCGTGTCAAGAGGAGTCATTTACTTCTAATTTGAGGATTTTATTTTCACCCAACAAAAGAAACTTTACATATTTAAGCTGTTTTTTGTTATATCAGCCAGACTTACAAGTTGTAGAAAATAATAGTTAGAGAAAGACTTCTGTGAAAGAACCAAATAATTGATTTGGTAATCTTACCATCTGACTCCAGGTCTCTGTCAAACACGTCGTCCAAATCTGTTGGTCGTACTGGGGATAGACAGTCATCATCTTTCAAGCTGAGTGTCTCAAATGAAAGCACAGACATTACAGCCTACTGTAGAAGTTTCTGGCTTTTTCATTCAATCAGTTTGCCGGACAGACAGGAAATACAAAGTCCTCGGGGAATTTGGGTAATTCCTTTTTTATGTGGCCTGTAGGAGCCAGTACTATCAGACCGAACAGGGTTGCGCTGTGCAGCAAGTAATTTTACACCTCGGGTAATGTGTCATGTAAAGTGGCATTAAAAATGTATGCGTCTGTGTAGTTACCATCCTGAGCTTTTAGCAACGCTATGCAAAGCACACTGCCTGCATGGCATGAGATGATAAGGTCCTGTGGTGAATTATATCACATTATTTGTGTTGATTTGTGTTAAAATCAATTCTGCATTCAACATAATATTTACTTCTATATACAACAACTCGTTTCAATGCCTAGAGTGAAATGTTACATATGGATATTATATTTGCTCCAGTGACGTTTCACTTTTGGCCCTTCACCTTTTGCAGCTAAAACCTCAGAATGCGCATGCGCCTACTTTAAGCGAAAACCATGATTGGCAGCTTGTTGTATTTTGTGCTCTACCCCTTGTCGCGCTCCGTGACTAGCCTGTTCTCAGGTAAAAATGAATAGCATTTTCATGAGGTGATTAGGTGTAAAACGACGCATAAACTTCACATCAAGCTTTGAGCAACTGCTACGAGCTAACACAAAGTTATCGTAGTTGTTGACGAAGCAGATTGGCTGGTTAGTTGCTTTTTGTAGAACTCAGAGTGATTCGAGTCTGGTTTTAAGTAATAAATTGACAAACAGTTCGGTTATTGTGAAAGTGGTTAGAGTTTCTGTACTGAAGCTGGCTAACATGCTAACATGCTTGCACCTGTTGTTTTTACGCTCTTGACGTGCAACGATGACGTCAGGACGTCACTGCACGTGTTTGTTTTTCTGTATTCTCCGTTGTTAAGACAGAAGTTTCACGCTTTAAACTGTTTTGTCAGCGTTTAGGAAAAGTTTTTTGCCTAACAGACAGTAAAGGATTTTTAAATGGTTCCCCTCCATTTGGTTTGTCTTTCAGACAACTCAAAGAAGGCTCCTTCTCCTGCTGCGGTTAATGACAGGGCTGTGTGGGATGGTGGTGCTGGAGCAGCCACATTCACCAACTCTCAGACAGCCTTGCTGGATCAGAAGGGAGAAGCGAAAGGAGAGGCGAAAGAAAGGGTAGATAAACAAGTCAAGGAGGAAAACAATAAAAGGCCTGATATGTACAACAATCCACAGACAGAAGTCCTGCATACAGACTCAAAGAATTATGGAGCATCACGAGTGAGTAACGGGCATTCAGCACAGCGGGAAGAGGCTGGAGATTCCAAACAGGAGGATCTGAAAATGTCTGTCCATCCTAACACTCTACATTTGAAAGCTGACATGGAGGATGATGAATTGTCTACAGCTGATGATACCAGTCAGGAGCTAGTGCTTTTGGCACACATACAGGGCATGCGAGTAGAGGACAGCATGCGAGAAACTACTCGATCTGTCGAGGAACAACTGCAAACCTATGTGGAGTCAGTACCTCCACTTCAGGTGAGTGTAAAGAAAACTACCTGTCCGGTTCAGGGTAAAAGAAGGATGCAAGCCTTAGAAGAGTCGGTGACTCAAACTGAGGAGGGCATGCATTTTTGTTTTCAGGAGGAGAAAATCCAGCATTCAAACATGGAAGTTTGGGATGAGTATTTACTATCTACAGCAGCTGTTGCCTCTGGTGGATTGGACAGTTCAAAGCTTGGGTTTTCCCCCCTTCCTTCCAAAACTGAAACCCATGTGAGACTGTGTGAGCAACAGAATGAACAATCCGGGTGGCACTTCCCTGTGGGGCCTGGCTTGGCGGACGAAATGCAGTGCCCACGGTGGAACTTTCCTGCTGCTAGTTATTACCCAGAGTTAGAGGTGCCCTTTGAAGGTGAGGAGATTTTTCAAATCTGAATTTGCTCACTGATTTCTCCAAAGTCAATCATTTCTCATTTCTGTATTTTTGTTTGTCTCCCTGTCAGTTATGTGGAGAGTATGGGAAAATTTGGATGCAACAGAAGAGCCTTCCCCAACCCCTATCCCACTCAAAGAAGCCTCGATGGACTTCACTGTCATGTCCTACAACATCCTTGCTCAGGACCTATTGGAAATTAACCAACATTTGTACGTACACTGCCCCCTCGATGTGCTGGACTGGAGTTTTCGCTGCACTCTGCTGTTAAATGAAATAGCAAAGTGGGCACCAGATGTGAGTTAAATAGTGCCTTAATTTTTCCCTTTAAAAATAAGATGGTGCCTTTTCATATCTGATGTGATTGCTTGTGTTTGTCAACTTGAGTGTAGATTCTGTGTCTGCAAGAAGTTCAGGAGAACCACTACCATGAGCAGCTGCATCCCGTCTTTTCTGAGATGGGTCGGTGACCTAAACAAAGCAGAATTGCAATGATGTGTGATAACGTGACAAATGTTCTTACTCATGTTCCCCTCACGTTGTTGTCCAGGCTACACCTGCGTTTACAAGCGGCGCACTGGTACCAAGACGGATGGCTGTGCTGTCTGCTACCGTAGCAGCCACTTCTCTCAAGCTGCTGTCACTGAGCTGGAGTTCTTCAGACCTGAAACGGAGCTGCTGGACCGACACAATGTGGGCATTCTGTTGCTGCTCAGGCCACTGGTCACTGAGGGAGCGGAGGTTAAGGAGAAGGGCCCGCCGCTGTGTGTGGCCAACACTCATTTACTCTTCAACCCAAGGAGGGGGGATGTGAAGCTAACTCAGCTGGCCATGATGTTGGCAGAAATTGACGCCATGGTTAAGTCCTGTAAGGGGAAAGGCGAACACTGTAACGTCATACTGTGTGGAGACTTTAACTCCCTTCCACACATGCCGCTGTACAATCTGATTACCAGCGGGGAACTCTACTACCAGGGTCTGCCTGCATGGATGGTGAGAAAACACAAGAGCTAACATATAACACCCAGTTTTATTCACATTAAACTCATCATTAAGGTTTTCGATGCCCACGTCAAACATGTCCGTAACCTTACATGTATTTTTATGTCAAATAGGTATCAGGCCAAGAGGACCTGTCATATAAGCCCAGTTGTCGGAGGCTGTTTGCTCCTCTGTGGCCCAGTTCACTGGGAATCACTGACAGATGCCAGTACACCACTGTAAACGATATGTTTGACAGCCAGAGTCAGAAATCAGGTCAGTTTCAAAAGTCAATTTGGTTTGTTTGTAGATATGGTTTTGATATGAGAGGGGGTTTCTGTCAGCGGGGGTGGGGCTTTCCTCTCACTCCTTCTGACCTGCTGTTTGTTTTGTAGGCAAATATAGGTACAGCCACGACTTGATGCTGCGACTGCGTTACTGTCCAGCTGCCTGCGTTCGTCCTAAGGACCTGGAACTGATTCCAGGAGTGACCGACAACACGTCTGGTAAGCCAGACATGTGACGCAGGACACCCAACATAATTTACAGCCATTCTAAGCTCCTGATCTTGAAATTTGGGACATTAATTTTCTTTTTCTGATTCTGCACAGATGCTTCGAGGGAAGATCAGCATTGCGAACAAGGGTCAGTGTAGCTCCAGGTCATGAGCAGTGACTCAGTTTTAAAGACTCTACAATTTCAAATGTGTCATACAGCAAAGACCTGTGACTTACAAAAGAGGAGCATTCAGTGACTTAAAAGGAGAATGGTCCTAAGTTTTGATGTTTTCACAGGTTCAGACGCATTCTCAGACATCGGTTGGACCTGGAGTCGGTCTATAAGCACGTTCTTCATGGCTCTGGCAGTCCAGAAGTCACAACCCTGCACTCTGAAGGGGGAGCCACTGTCGACTACATCTTCTACACCCCTAAACGCATTAGAACCGCTGACCAAAAAGGTGTGAGAACAGCCCATTAATACATGTTAATATGTTTTACATTTTGCAAAGGATGAACAGATTATTATTTTCATTTGTCTTTGATCTTTTCCATTTTAGGTAGAGAATTTGCAGGTAAAGGTCTGAAGCTTATTGGTTCCCTGTCCCTCCTGTCTGAAGATGTCTTGTGGTCAATAAACGGACTTCCCAGTCATATATTCCCCTCTGACCACCTCAGTCTGGTGGCTCGATTCCAGATGGACCTGAACTCTTAATGATAGCAAATCAGACGCTAAACGTGCTTCTTTCTGAGAGTGGGGTGCCTGTGTGACAGTTCATTACACAGGTACAGAAGAACAGGAAGTACACTCAGTCGTTTATAAAACGGACACAACACAGGTAATTGTTGTCCAATAGGACTTCAGATGGTTATTTCACAAAAGGATTCTTGTTTATTCTAGTTATTTCTAATTATTTCAATTCAGGATCAATTCATCAGTGCATGAAACACATGAGTGATTGCCTTTGTTTTTTCTTTTGTTTGTGTTTTTTCATATTATGTTATGTATTAAGGGTTGATGCCGTACTGCAAACAGACTCTGCTCCTTATCTCGAGCTGGCTTGTAGAAGGAAAACCTAAAGCATGTCTATTTTTTATGATAAATGACACTTTTCAACATTTTATTCTTCTAAGAGAATTATTTTACCTACAAAAGGTTTTTACTTTTGTTGGCAAAGGGAAATTAATCCTCATGTTCAAAAAGGAAGATATATAGTGATTGATTTATTGAAGGCTGGGATTTTCTGATTTTTTTTTTTATTTTGCGGTTGCAGACAGTCTTACTTTTAAAATGAATTGTTTTTTCAATTGGTATAAAAAATAATGAATAAATAATTGCTTTCAATGTATATCAATCATTTGCTTTGGGTATATAATTTAGACAGTTAAATGAATATGCTAAAAATAAATTCACCAACATTGTCTGGTGCTAATGTATTGGCCTAAATGTAGGGCATTCCCCCTATTCCCACTTCTCTGTTTCAGCCAACTGTTTCTTGGAAACACGGTGAAATTATCTATGACTTAATTACTGATAGAGACTGATGCTGTTTGGAAATTAACCCTGTGGGGTCAGTTGTATGATGGGAAGTGGGTCAGTTGGTTTTTAGCCAAGTAGGGCATGATGCTTTATGAGTGTGCAATATGTGTGTTTTTTTTCTAAACAGTTGAATATATTTTTGTTTATCTTTCAAATATGTTTAATCATAATTTGAAAAGGCAGCAACAATAATATTAACAAACCCTGTCAGAGGGAACTAAGTTGGTCATAAATCAAAATACACAAAACTTTCTCTGCAATGTATTCAGTCCTTAAACCCAGTGGATCTTTGCTATCTGTTTATATTCTAACCAGCTGCTCTTTGTGCTGTGAAGCAAACTTCCATCCATCCACTGAGAGGTCCATAAAAGCAAAAGAGCTGCTTATGAGAATAACTATTGTGTAATGTGCACTGCATCTGGAAAGTATTCACAGTCCTTCACATTTGTCACATTTGGTTTTGTTACAGTCTGTTTCCAAACCATTTTAAGTGAATTTATCTCTTGAAATTCCACATGAAACGCCCCGTAATGATGAAATGGAAAAACGAAACTGTAACATGTACAGAATGTATGAAGTATTAACAGCAGTGAGTAGAATTATTTTGGCCTGGCGCACATTTTCGTAGGCAGAAAGAAGAAAAACGTTTACATGGTCACCTCATGACAAAGGTCCGTCCATCCCAGTCTTTCAGACTGGCCAGGTCGAAGAAAGTCCTGGCAATTCCAAACAGTTTTTCGTACCCGTCCTTTCTCAGAGGTCTGCACACAAGTCCTTTGACATTATCGCTTGTTGGTGCTCGTCAGCAGAATTGATCGCAGGTGGACGTGAGATGAAGAAAGAACTGTAGGACAATCAGTCGAGACGAGATGCACCTGAGCTACACACCGAGCATCAGTACTTCTGAACATATTATATATATTTTTTTACTTTTTGTGAATTTACAAAAACTTTCAAACAAACTTTTATTTGATCCATTTGGAGTATTACATGTGGAAAGTTTAAGGGGGGAAAAAAATTGAATTCCACTTCGGAATAATGCTGTAACACAACTAAATGTGGAAAAAGTGAAGCTCTGTTAAGACTTTCCAGATGCACTGTTGCTGCAAAATAAACCTGGAAAGTCTAAAACAGTAGAGCGAGGAAATGCTATTTGTCTGTATTTTTCATTCTGGTCCCATTCTTTTAGAACGCTACACAGTGTGACATTGTGGAGCTTAACATTTGTGGTTGTGGTTCAAGTGGGCTTTAATTCTCTAGGCTCTCCTTTTATAGAGTTGTTGTTATTGAGTTTCTTTGGTATAAACCAACAGAAGTGGTGTTTGGAGTTCAGTCTGCTCCCGTCATCATGTGCCTCAGTGCTTAAAGCTGCCCTTCAGCTGAGAACACCCTGTGCTCCAGTTAGAAAAACTGGTTGACAGAAAACTGGCACCATTCCCTGACTGATAACCAGACGAGTAATTGAAGTGTGCCTTCCCGTTAACCAAATCATTTTAGACTATTGGGGACATGTTAAAAAAACAGGCTGTATAAATAGGTGCCAATCATGTGAAATGAAAAGAAAAAAAAGACCGTGACCACGAGAAGAGATGACCGTTTATTGTCCTGTGAGTCCTACAGTACCAAACAACTGTGTTACAGAGCACTGACACGAGGGTGGTGAACACACTGAGTACAGCTGAAAATGCTTACAGCGGCAACATTCAAACCAGTGTGTGCTGAAAATAATCCAGAGTAAAAACCAACACTGAAGGTAGTATAAAATGACACAATTTCTAATAAAAAATTCAAAATCCAGATAAAAGTGTCATAAACAAAGTTTTTCTTTTGTTTTTTGTTTTTTTTAACATATTTGCTAGAACGGAAGCCAGCCACTTGACCAGACAGAAGGCCAGTGAAAGTTGCTACAAATAAAGGGAACAATGCAGGACAGGTAAAACACACATATATAGATTCCTGGTTACCTTATATCTACGCTGAATGCAGTCTAGGTCGGTCTGAGGCCATGCCTTTAGACAGTCCATGTGACAGATTTGATACCCTGCAGCTAGTATTAATCTAGATCATGATCAACAGATGCTTTCTTATACTTGGACGAAACGGCATGCTTTCCCCCTCCCTGGGGGTTGGATTTTTGTATTACAGTTTATTTCCTAGTGATTGGGACGAGCAAATATTACACTGTTGTTTTTTTACATTTTCAGACGATAAATAGGGAGTCTTCTCCTTAAACTTTCATAGAAGGCACGAGGGCAGCGGTTTATAAACCAGTCCCTACACGAGTAGCTGCTGCCGGAGGAATCGAAGCGGACTTATATTACATGACTTTACACATTTACAGTACAATGATACAGATTGTAGATGGGCCTAACAACACAGGGGACAGTGATATGTTGAGTAGTACATTTATACTGAGCAGTAACGTTTCCCCAATAAAGGGAAGCATCGTATTATGCATGTGTTAAGGTAGCAAAATTCCTCATTGTGTTAAAAATGTTCACATATTACACGTGTTCCCTCTTTTAAAGAGTTGGGAGCATGGCCAGCACCGATTACCGTGAACAGTGAGATGTACATTAAAAAAAGCCTATAAAAACATACGAAAAGCGGAAGGAGGCATTTGTGTAGGAGAGATGCGTTGTTGCTGACCCATCCAACATCTAGTGTCCATGACTTAAGCTGCTGACTGGCCCCTGTGAAGAAAGGTGTGTGGTGCAAACCCACAGAGGTCCTCTTCAAACCCGAATCTGGTATCCATTAATATCTGTTGAAGACTTTTGCTCCGAAACCTTCTTCTCCCCGGACGGACTGCAACGAGAACACAAGAATGTTAGAGAGGGCTCTGAGGTTTTGTTCACGTGTGGACGAAAATGGGACATCAGCGTTGACCATCAGTGTTGACCATCAGTCTCACCGTCTCTCGGCTCGGCTGATCCTCCGGACGGGGCTGCTCGGGACCCTCAGCGGCGAGCCCATGCTGTTTCTCCTGTCTTTGGTGGGAGAGGGAGGCGCCTGTTTTCCGATCTGCTGACACGGTGTGCGGAACAAAACAAATCCGTCAGAATTTAATGACCACACATATATCGCGCGGCTGAGTTAACGACGCTGGTGTCCTCTCTGTCATGAACGCCTAAACCTGTCCACGTCTTCATGGCGAGTGTGCTGTGCACTCAGTGTAAAAGGCCGGCTATTGATGGATCTGTGCACGAAGCCCAGCAGAGCATTAGTTTTATTACTGGTTGCCCTGCATCCAGGCTGCCATCATCATCATCATAAGAGGTGATGAGAGAGTGTGGAACTGTGGAGAGAAACGACCCCTCAAACTACAGATCGGCTGAGCGTCACTTTGCACAAAGAGGGAGCCAATTAAAGGAAAGCTCATGAGCAGAGGTGTGCAGAATATCTGCCGAGAACAACGTTTTCTAACAGAACTTCGGTGTGTACCTTCAGCCTCATGTCTCGCGTGTGTCTCTCCAGCTCCTTGCGAAGTTCCTCCTTCCCCAGCTTGTCCAGATCTAGTATGGAGTGTTTCCACTCTATCTGCTCCACGCTGTGCGGGTCGTGGGACACGTACTGGCCGATCTTCACCTTGCGCAGGGTGTGCCAGTAGCCCCGGTAGGCTCCCTCAAATTCCTGGACCAGGTCCATCAGCGTTCGGAACTCCAGGGGCTTGAACATGAGGTCCTCCCTCCGACTCATGCCCAGCGCACCAAAGCGCCCCCCACTGTGAACCCCCAGTACAATGTGGTAGAAGTGGTTCCCTGAGAAATGAGACTTAAAGCTGAGGGGGAAACGCTCCACACCAGGCAAGTTGTTGGTGAGGTAACTGGATCAAGAAAAATCAAGGAAATGGATCTGCAACTCAAAGGAATGAATTTTCATGATATCAGATCAAATTTTTTACTTGGTACTGATACAAAGGACAGATTTGAAGCTCTAGATCCACAAACACTTCCATACTATCAGGAGATTCTTTCTGTTTTTTATGTCAGAAAATATTTTGCATAAATCTAAAGAAACATTTGTTTTGCAGCTCTTATCCGTCACACTGTTTATCACACAACATGCCGGATGGTTGTAAGGATACATTCCCAGGATCACCGCCTCCAAACATTTGATTGGCAGAGCCTCCCGCGTCATTTCCTTTGCGATGTCCATTAACCTGTGCCAAAACAGAGCATTTTCCCACAGAAATGTTGTATTACGCAAAATAAGCACAACAGTGATCGCAAGCAAGGGATAAAGGACAAAGACCGTCATTGATTTAATGCAGTCAAACGAAAACATTTCCCATGAGCCGGGGAAATCAAATCTAAATCTAATAGAGCAAAGTCAGGAAAAGTGTTCCAGGCCTCTGCAGAGGGACATTAACTCTAAACCACAGTGTTCAGGAGTAAACCAGAGACATTCCTCTGTGAGGCTGAACAGAAAAGGAAGGTTTGCTTACGCAGTCAGAGGGCGGCTTTTCTTAATCTCAAAAAACTGTGTTCCTGTGTGATTGTACCTGCAAAATACAGTTAAGGTCATGGCGTAAGAGACAATGTTGTATTGCGTTGGGAGAACAGTGCTGCCTTCACTGAGTTTCACCAAATGCTTTGTGATATTCATAGTTTGCGGCTTAATTATGAATGAATTTCTCCCCTCACTGCAAATCAAGCTTTAGCCAAACAATGAATGTATGAACTACTCTGGCTCTCTCCATGAAATCCTGTAACAGAATCGATTGGATTCTGTAAGTATCCATGTACTCCTAGATGTAACAACACATGAATCTGAAGCATATTTTCCGAACTTTTGCACAGAAAAGGTAATTATCTAGCAAAAAGCCTCAATTACAATATATTTCAAAGGTTTTTAACACCATCTTGGTCAAAGGATACTGCAGTTCCCTGATGTACTTTTGTATGGCTTCCAGGCGCTGTGGGATAGGGGTGGTGGGCTGGTATGTAGGCACACTTGGTACTGGAATCTGTGGGTCAAACAAACAATCCCCGATGGTCACTGCATTTGGTGACACTGTGCAAACACGTACAGCAGATCAGTTTGGATAGATTTAGTCAAAATGGAGACATAAGACTCTGGACTAATACCTTCTCTCAAGACAGGTGCTAGCTGACTTTCCATGATGCAAATGTTTCCGAATGGCTGTGTAAAACAAATGTGCTGTGCTCTGTTATGTGCTGTGTCTGATTGAGTAAATATGGATGCCAGTTTACTAATTGGCCTCTTTACCTTGGGCAGGTCAGTGGTTCCTCTTATCTCCTTGGCCAGTGCTTCGCCACCAGGGTGAATTCTGGCCACATGGCGCCACATCCTCTCCCAGGTCTCCTCGTCTACCGGGAGGCCTCCTCTATTCACATAGAAAGGCACTCCTCCATCCCCTAACTCTTCTTCACCTTCGTCCTCCTGCTCCTCATCCCTCTCCTCCACTGTGCCCACCGTGGCCTGGAGCATCCCTCCTTCTCCCGCTGGCGAAACAGAGTCCTGGAGCACAAATGTCCTGACTGATGCTTTGGATCCTTTCACTTGTTAATCAGCTTGCAGGTTTAAACAGGCTCCAACAGCAGATGGCCAACTCATGACATCCAGCAGATTATGGCATCAGTGTCTCCCAAAGAAGTCAATGCAGATCTAATTACAGCCAAATGCTTTCCAGACTCTCTTGGGCAGCTCAAGCTGCTGAATATGAAGCCATGATTTCGTGTGAACTAAAAGAATTGGATGAATAAAGTATTCAGCACTTCAGAATAAAATCTTATAGACTATACAGAATTGAATAACCAGGTATACGTGTAAAAGCTAATTAGTTATTAAGGTTAATTAAGCTATAACGTAAAGCGTTTCTCAATTAAGAGACGTAAAATGTATTTTTAAGAAGGAATATCACGCCGTTTCAAGAGGGCTGTCTGCAGGCAACAAAGTGTTAGAAAATCTGAATTCCGTGAGCCGTTAGAGGTCACCGATGTCCAGAAAATCACTGGATTTTATAATCCCATCTCCCCGACAATCCTTCCACGTCCAGTTCAGGCCCATCAAGACGTTTCCTTCCATGTCAGCCGGTTCATTGTTCCTGCAGATGCTCTCCTCGGCTCTCGAGTCCAACAAGCCGCTCAGACACTCCCCGAACTTTGGCTACTACGCATGCGCCGTACTAAGCAGATGATCTCAGCAGTGACAAGTGATGCATTCAAGTGCTCCTCGTACGATGTCAATCCACGATTATCCAGACACGAGGCTGTGGTTTTCATACTGTTATGCTTGACAGTATTACATTTCTTAAAATAAACTTTTAATCAATGTAAGCATCCTAACTTACAAATATTCATTATGATGATTAGTTAAAAAACAAAAACTGAAGACAGCATTTTTTTGAGCATTTTATTCTTGCAGAAAACAATTTATAACAAAATTATTCATGGGCACAAAACAATATAAATGTACAAACTCAATGTATTTAAACCAACCTCATTGTAAGTAAATTAAATTTGAAAATCGTAATGTTTTTAATGAAAACAAAAGAAAAAGAAACCCTAAATAGGAATTTTCTGTCTATTTACAGGTTCAGCTCCGTTGGAAGAATACTAAAATCTTGGGGCTCCATAGTCATCAGGCATCCGTTCAATGTTGTACCTGAATTCATAAATTTGAAAAAATGTTGTCAGTACCTTTTCTATAATTTAATGTAAAAAAAAAAGAGAATACAAACATGGAAATAAAATATAGATTAAACACTTAATTGGAAAGTTACCTGTGGTTTGAGATGTACATGATGGGGACTCCAGGGATCTTCCTCACCCTTCTCTTAAGATCTCTGTCCACAGTAGCCAGGATGTAACACTTATGCTGTAAAGATTTTTTATTAAATTATTTTGGTTCTTTACAAGATGTACAAAAGGCGCATATTTTTTAGCAGAAGCAACATACAGACACAGCATTGATTCTAAGATGAGCAAAAGAAGGGCTTTTGCTCCAAACTCCAAATCCCACAGCAGGGGAGGCACAACACTGAGATGGTTATCAGTTCCAATATTTCACATAATTTTTTTTCTTATTGACAGACTCATTTTTTCCCCCATTCAGAGTATTTTTCTTGGTCAGAAATTCTTGGCATTGTGGCTGTGTGATTTGAATGCTTATATGGAAAATTCTTCTGTCATTCAGAGACTATGGGCTTTGTCAGATTTCCAGGATACCCCAAAGCATTTATGGCTCTATCAATGGATGCACTCATGCATCTCTGTATCCTCACCCTGCCTCTGCACCTCTCTAACCGGACATCAATAGTGGTTTCAGAGCCCTGATTGAAAATGTTCAGCAAACATTCACATGGATCTAATTTAAGTTTAATTTAGCATTTTTGTGCAGAAGATTATATGATCTTGGGCACCATCCATAAACACTGATGTTATGTTATTTTATTGTGTTTTATTTGTTTCAGTTCAATTTTAATTGCTCACTTTTCTGTTTTGTCTGGTAGGTCAGCAAACAAAAATTTCAATTAATCTCAAGACTATTTTTCCTGTGATCTGATACACACACACACTGGTGAACACACCCTCAGAAAAAAATGTATCGTCACAGCCAAAAGTACCACTACCTTAATGTAGGTAGACTAAAAGTGTCCTTTCTAACCTTACTTTAACTACATTAAGCCATTTAATTGTAGATATCCCTCTAATCCAATACCTGCCTGTTTTCAGAAGTATAAATGAATGAATAATTTCTTTGCCATTCTTCTTTGCCAGTCGACATTTGGATGGTAAATATCTAATACGCCTGTTTTTCTGGAATATTTAATCACCAGCACCCCACCTATTCAGCACTAAATTAACACCAAATTTCCATTTCCATGTGTGTAAATACGCTGTGTAACAAGAGTTTCACCTGTGTTACTCTTTGGACCAAACAGTCATCAGCATATGTTCCCTTGTGTGCGCATGGCAGGCGCTCAAACCTCGGATCCTTGGCTATCCTTTCAGACAAAAAATGAAAACAAATTTTAGATTTTTTTTTTAAGGCACATGTGCCCAGTACTGACTTATACCCTGTGCCTGTACCTGAGTGCAACCCTATATTTCATTCCAAGCTTCTCAATCTCCGCCATTACACAGTCTGTGATATATGGGATACCTGGATCGAATAAAATTTGAGAGAAGGAAAATGAAATTATTTAGCTATTATTGACCGATACAAATCATGATTTACATAAAGTTTACAAATACAGCAAATACTTACATTTGGCATACAAACAGTCCATCATTGACTGGACAATATCCAGCTTGGCCTTGATGGAGAAGTTGATGAAATTAGTATCGACTAGAATATGGTATGGAGGGCCAAGCTGAGTGTTGTACTGGAAGAACAGGCATGACGGATACTTTGGGCTACAAAAAGGAATTCCAGATGAAAGCATGTCAAATAACAACTACTCACAATAAAAGGCAGCATTCACTTTTTTGAGTTGGTAACTTACACCTCACGTTCTTTCAGCTCGGAGGGGTCTTTCTTCTTTTTCTCTTTTGCTTTGGCCCGATCTTTTTCTTTTCTACAAAACAAAAAACTAGTTAGCATATACACATTTGTGTTGAAACGGAAGAAAATAAGGTAAACCAGAAGTAAAAGAGAAATAACCATCTACATGTTATACTTACAATCTTTGATCTCTAAGATTAATCATCCTCTTCATTGCTGCAAACTTTTTGGTTTTCTGTTTCCCCTAGATTAAAAGAGACGAAATTAGGTTACAACCTCCAGAACACAATCAACAGGAAAAATTCCTTATTGGATCAGCACCGTTTCGTTGAAAGCAAGACAGAACTAAATGTATTAGTAAACTCTTGTCTAAAGGAAAACTACATAAAAAAACTGGGAGAAAGGCATACACAATGTCATAGTATCACGAATTTAGATTAAACTTTGTTGTAGCAGATAGCCTTGTTGTTTGACTGGATTGTGGAGGGTAGCCAGCTAGCTATGCTAAGATTACCTGACCTCACAAGCACATCCGCCAAAACACAATATAGTTAATGCTAAATACAATTAAATAAACTGGACTAAAAGTGCTAAGTAAACCGTGTTACAACTGTCACACGATCAAACTGTATTTACCATGTTTTAAATTGCTAGAATTCAGCTCTCACTCGCTGTATGAAGCCCCTCTCCTCGTGCGGCTAAATGTTTACGTCATCAAAGATCGACAGTTTCCTGCGCATTTTCCGGTTGCTATGCTAACGGCTCACAGACGTAAATGCAGCGTTTGGAAGCATTTGTCGGAGACAAACACCCCTTCATATAGTGAGAATTGCTGTTTCTATGTGATTGTAGATAGTATTTCATGAATATTCAGAATGTGCATCTTGATAACTGACACTGGTCGACGCCTAGCTTTCTGAATGACGCTGATTTTGTTTGCTAATGATGGCAGCTGCTAGCATTGTGTTGTCTTTAGATATGCAGCAGTGTTGTAGCAGTTTGTCAGTGAAATGCTAACCATCGCCTGCAGCTTTACCTAGAATTCCAAGTGTCAATAGGAAAGTAAGAATTTATGATGTTGCTGTAAACCGGTTCAAATTCCGTTCTTGGTGTTCACGATTTACGGCACACGAAGGAATTGAAAGCTCGGCTGCGTTTCAGATTCCGAAACGTTTTGCATTTAGTTTTATTCTGTTTGGGTGTTCACGACAATCGCAGCAATTGGCATTTGTAAACGTTTTTAAACTGGAACTAGCAAGCCCAGACAACTCATCCTTATCAATCCAATGCAGCTGGACTGGGTTGTTGTCGAAGAGGATTAAGAGTGCAATTAGGTTTAGATTGACCTGGTTTATTTAACTCTGATAAACTCTGTGTACACAGGCCTTTTCCGCCATTCTCTAACCAAAATTTCAACGTAAATATACTTCCATTTTCGACACACTTAACATTGAATTGTTTGTTAAGAAGGAAAGTATCAACCGGGCTGTCGTACCTCTCGCTTTTTTTCTCTTATAGGTCATTTGTAACTTTAGCTCTTTGTTGTTAACTGTGAACCAGCTGTGTTGAGCATTTTTTTTTGTCTTCCACTGCAGGGAATTCGACTGACTGAGTGTTGTGTAGCAGTTCCCCTGCGTGCACGGATGGGTCTTAGTGAAGGCTGAAAGATGGTCTGATGGACCGCCGCTTCTTCTTGACCTTCCTCTTCTGCTCTGTGTTGTGGATCTTCTTCTGGGAAGCACGCTGGAAGAAAAGGAAAGAAAGTCAGATTGAAGAATGGCTTCAAGGGCATAGCCTCTCTCAATACAAGGACGTGTTTGAAGGTCAGTGGGCTCTAGATTCCTTGTCATATTTTCCCTCAACAGTGTGCCGTTTGAAATGTATTTGATGGCCCGTAAATGGTATGGTTCATTTGTCACCCAGATGTGCAGAGTCTGGAAGAACTAAGTCTGAGTGCGCTGAGTCGGCTTGAAGAGGTGGTGAAGGAACAGAAGCGCTGGAGGGAAATTGCAGAGGCTCACATTCAGCTCCTTCGAGACTTCGCCTTCCAGGAGTGGCTCTGCTCCCAGAACCTTGAACACTACCACCAAATGTGAGCGGCCAGAGGTCTAAACATGAGCCCCTCCACCAGTGTGGTGGACATTTCCAAAACGCCTCTCACTTTTAGTCATAACGCGCTCGTTCGGATGTCATATTTATATCTAGCAGTTTTGATGCAGTCAGAACGAACTCGGTGAAGTGCTTGTGATCAGGTTCTATAAACGTAGCATAAACTGTGTTTGTGTGTGTCCTCTTGAGGGCAGCCTCTCCATTCATGGTTAGCTGAGTTTGCTGACTCCGGGCTGTGTGGGCTGCAGTGTTTCAGAGGGTCACTGCAGTAAAAAGTATTCTTTAGAGACTGTCTAAGTTTGAGACCCTGCAGCGATGCAGATGTTTGTTTGTTTGCATGCATTGGTTGCTTTTCAGCTAAACAAATGGCAAGTATCAATGATGTTGTTATAAAAACAGCACCCACCCACCCTCTGAAGGTCATTAATCTTGCCGGAACAAAAGGGTATAATGTTTCAGTGGAAGACTTTCTGGCCTCTGATGGGCAACCAGTTTTAGATTCCTGAAGGTCACAACGCCATTGCTCTTTTTGATCAACTGGATTTGGCTGCTTTGATTGTTAGTACCCCCCAAAAAAGTATTATTTGATTTAAAGTGAGGAGAATAAATCAATATAAGATTTTTACAAGCCCTTCTTGCCTTCTTTGAATCATAAGGGGTGATATCATAATTAGTGAATCGATTGTGATGCTTTATATTTTGAAGTTTTACTGGCTGATATTGCTGGAAGCAGTTCACATGTTGCATTATTTGATGTCTCAGTTTAAGTTGATATTTCATCTGGGTCTGTTTCAGCATTCAATTCATCCCATGAAACCATGACTGCACCAGGCGCTCGTTAAAAACAGACGCAGTAATCAGTGTCACGTTTTTATTGTTCATCACTTAGCTGTTCCCGTTTGTGAATGACCAGCATGGGCCACATGCTTCTTATTGTGTCACACCTTACTCACTTCTCATTTTTGGCGTGAAGTGCTTGTTTAGCTGATAAGACTGTGGTCTCCATAATGAGAGATTTTGCATAAACTGGTGTTAGTTTTGTGGGAGCGGTTGCCGGTTCTGCACACAGAGCTGCAGACTCACAGTTAACATTCAGTCATGAAAGGATATCGGTAAGATAGATGACAGCTTCACTTTTGCTTTGTGCTCCAGACTGAAGACTTTGGGTTATGCGAATCTGGACGACCTAACTCAGTTTGACAGTCAGCTGCAGCTCTCTCTGGCCGCCTGGGGTTACTACTACGAAGACTACATCAAACTGTCGACGGGCATCAAGATCCTCCGGACCTCCAGGGGGAGTCGGGACCAGGACTACGAGATCCGGCTGGTGCACAGCCTTGCTGAGAGGCGTCTGAATGAGAAGTGGTCATTCGGTGAGGTTCTGATAAAATTTTTTCTTGTAGTTCTGGTTGCTTCCCGCAGCTGGACACGATCAAGATGCATTTATTCAGTGTATAAACACAGTCTGGACTGTAGTGTGTTAAGTGTTTTCCCAAATGTCTTTCCAGGAGTCTCAGATTGTTCAGAGTGTGGTCATTTATAGGTACTGCTAAATCTTAGTGATCAGGCCACTATAGCCTTTTCTCTCAGCATCAGTGCACACTCCTACAGAGATCGTATCTATAATAGCTTAAAGTTACTTCCTTGTTGGATATCTTATGTGCAGCCATCCCTTTTACTGCCTGGTATGCTTACACAAGGTGTGGCCTTCAGCTTCCACGCAAAGCTCAAAGCAAGCCGTCTAAGTCAGATTTTTCTCTGTTTTTTTTGTTATTCTGAGAAAAGTATTCACAAAACAAAATTCTATTCAGGAAAAAATAGGACGCTGAAAGTTTCTCTGCTGACTCGAAACCAGAAGGATAATTGATTGTGTTTATGTTGTTTTATCAGCGGGAGCTTTTCTTTTTGGCTGTACTGTGGCGCTCTGCTTCCTGATAAGGGACCTCATGTTTTACGTGATTGGTAAGTTCAACATTAGTTCTTTAGGTATTTGCTAGTTGACTTGTTCATCTTTTTTTTGTAAGGACTGATTTTCATCCTAAACTGTACTAATTATGTTTGACTCCAGATTTCCCATCTTTTCCTGGTTTTGGTAGTGCAACATTCATATATTAAAAACCCAATAATGGTTATTGTTGGAAGCTCTAATCGTTTCCTGTTTTCTTTGCTCCTTTCGACAGGTGGAATTACTGTTTCCATCATTGCGTTTGTCTTTACCATCAAGTTCCTCTGTGAGCTTGCAGCAAGGGTTGTCAGCTTCCTGCAGAATGAGGATCCAGGGCGCCGGGGAGATCGCAGCATCTACGACTATGTGCGGGGCAACTATCTGGACCCACGTTCCTGCAAGGTGTCATGGGACTGGAAGGAACCGCAGGAAGTGGGGCAGACAATGAGCTTCAGAGTCCAGGTGACCACAAATTCCGAATGCGTTAAGGCTCCAAATGTTGTGTCTTTTAAATGAGCAGAAAGTTTAAATTAAGTTTACGTTCTCGAGTATAATTTTACAAAACAATACTTTTGTACTGTCTTTTTTAGCTGTTCTACAAGAACGGTCAACCCTTTCCAGCCCATCGGCCTGTTGGACTAAGGGTCCACATCACCCACACTGAACTGGCTCTGGAAATCCCTGTCACACAAGAGGTTCTGCAAGAACCCGAGTCCAATGTAGTTAAAGTTGCCTTCACAGTGCGCAAGGCTGGACGTTATGAGGTTGCTGTAAAGCTTGGCGGCCTCAATGTGGCCTACAGTCCCTATTATAAGATATTCCAGCCAGGTATGTTTGTGATGTATATTTGCAGGGTTTAATTTTTGCCCAAAATAATTTAATTAGTATTATTATTATTATTTGAGAAAACAATATTTTAATTAAGTTGATTATTTCCCATGCTATTATTCTCTTCAGGTACAGTTGTTCCATCTAAAACCAAGATAGCCTACCATTTCTCCACCCTGGTGCTAACAAATGGCCAGCAACACACTTTACAAATTGAGCCCAGGGATGAATATGGGAACCCGACCAGTAACTCCACTTCTCTCACAGATGAAGCCAACTACAGCATCCATGTGTTCTCTGTAAGGGAGGCAGCTTTTCTTCTTCTCTCCACTTCTGTTTCCCCCCCCCAAGTGTTAAAGTGAAATCGTGTTCAACTATTTTTCTGACACCAGCTGATTCAGGAGTTTTTCTGTTTTTGCATTCTGGTTTTCCAGCTCGGCACAGCAGATGATGACAGTTTGGAAGGCTTCTACAGCAAGTCGGTGTCACTAAACAAGCAGCAGTGCCAGGTTCTGCTGAGACTGACCCTGAGGAAGACGGGCTGTTTCAGGGCTCGGATCTCCTACAAGCATCAGCCGCTCAGCAACGGGGAGTTTGACATAATTGTTCTCAGTGGTGAGCAGCTTTTTTTTTTTTCTCTTTGGGGAAAAAAAACGTACATTAACCTAGAAAAGCGGTTCACAACCTTCTTTTCCCTGGCTGGGTGCAACTGGCCTGCAATCCTCTTTAAGCACAGTTGGCCTCCATTTTCAAAGCCTAATAATCTGTGTCCTGGTCCTTTGCAGAGAATGAAAAGGTCTGCGTGGAGAAGAATGTGTCCACTCCAGGCATAAGTATCTACTTTGAGGCGTACCTTTACAGCACTGGGAACTACAGCAGTTCTTCATGGCAGTTACCGGCCTCCTCTCTGCTCACTCCTCAGAGGAGGCCCTCCATGGGAGAGGAGGAGGAGGAGCATGACTCTCCTGTGGAGGGACAGCCCGAGAAGGTGAAGAAACCAAAAAAGGTCTACTGTTACATATCGCCAAAGGTAAGTTAGAGGATCGTTGGATTTTCGTAGTGAGAGACGATGCGTTTGTTCATTCGACATGGCGCTGACTTTGGCTCTTGTCAACAGCAACTTTCTGTCAAGGAGTTCTACCTGAAAATTATCCCATGGCGCCTTTTTACCTTTCGAGTGTGTCCAGGAACGAAGGTAAGTCCAAGTTGTGTAAAAAAAACCCAAATAGGGCCTAATTTTGACTTGCTTTTATAGTTCACTGAAATATCTTTATTTACTCTTTTTTTTTATTTTAGTTTACCTATTACGGTCCTGACCCGGTTCATAAGTATCTAACTCTTGTGGTGGACGATGGGATACAGCCTCCTGTGGAGCTCAGCTGCAAAGACAGGAACATCATGGCTGCCACCTTCATCCGTTTCCTGCACAAAAACATTGGTTGGTTTGAATCTCCCGAAGATGCTGTTGAGTTTTAGCAGCAGATGACGACTCGCCCCTTCTGGGCACCGAAGTCATTTGTGATTGTTGTCCTTAGGTGGCTCTGAAACCTTCCAAGATAAGGTGAACTTCTTTCAACGTGAACTCAGGCAAATCCACTCCAAGAGACCTCGCACCAAAACCTGCCTAAAAATCTCTCGACACGCCATTCTGGATTCAGTGAGTGCTGCTGAGTAGCTGTTTCCTGAGCTGTGCATGCTAAAAATGTGGTGTGTAATCTCAACGGTGCTTTTAAAATCTTTGACGTCAATTTATTTATTTGTTTTTTCAGTCCCTAAAAGCTACGAGGAACTTTTCAGTGTCAGACTGGAGTAAGAACTTTGAGGTTGTGTTTCAAGACGAAGAAGGTAAACAAAGAACCTGAATATCTTTTAGTGAGTGTGGGTTAGTCGACTCTGAGTTCTGTTTAAGTGGAGTTTAGAGCATAAAAAGGACCTAGCTTTGATATCTTTTCGCAGCTCTGGACTGGGGAGGTCCTCGCCGGGAGTGGTTTGAGCTGATATGTAAAACGCTCTTTGACACATCCAACCAGTTGTTCACCCGCTTCAGTGACAACAACCAGGGTCTTGTGAGTTATCCCCTTTTGCCCACCTCCCCCCACAGTGCCCAGTGTCCTCTTCAGCTGAAAACTTAGGCGGCCATCTTTCCTTTTCCAGGTGCACCCAAATGCGGACAGGCTCCCCCACTTACGTCTGAAGATTTACGAGTTTGCCGGACGCATCGTTGGGAAGTGCCTGTACGAGTCTGCTTTAGGTGGAGCCTACAAGCAGCTGGTCCGAGCTCGCTTTACACGCTCCTTCTTGGCTCAGATTATTGGCCTTAGGATGAACTACAAGGTATGGAGGGAGAGCGCATTACTACAATCAAGGCGAATCTTTAGACCTCGGAACGCCCTGTTTTTATTGTTTATCCTAACCCGTCAGCGCTCCATCTCATCACTTCAGCGTTCCTCATAAAGCCAGGAATCGTAATTTGTTTCTTGAGATTATTTATGTCTAGGAGAGCAAACCAGCATCTTGTGCTGTTTATCTAACTTGCTGAGATTTCGAAAAAGCCCACCCAACCATCTTTATGGACCCCTCAAGAAGATGAAATGCCCTGTTTATTTAAGAAATGTCATTTTCCTGTGGTTTCCCTTTGTTTGCCGTACACAGTACTTTGAGACGGATGACCAGGAGTTCTACAAAACTAAAGTCTGCTTCATCCTAAACAATGATGTCAGTGAAATGGACCTGGTGTTTGCTGAGGAGAAGTACAGCAAGGCAGGACAGCTGGAGAAGGTGAGGCAACACTTTGGAAGGGAACCTCCTCGTCTGTCCCTGATCTAATTTCACAGGAGATGGAAGCAATAAACCAAACAAAAAGAACCATATTTCTTGTTTGGCAACATTCTTGTTTTTCTTTAAGGGGTGGGTGGGATGCAGTTTATATGATGGTGGACGGCCCTTTTTTCTTTTTCTTTTTTTTTTTTAAAACTCAGGCAGTTTTGCATGAAATTCACTGTTGATTTCGACACAATAGCTGTCTTTGTATCCACCATGTTGGAACTAATGACTTTAATTACCCTCTAATTACACATTTTTATTTGAATGGATCATCCATTCTGTCAAACTGCTGTTAGACCTTGAAAAATATGAATAAATCAGCATCCAAGTGACATCAAAGCACCGATTTGACAAAATATCTAAACCTTTGCATGTACAGTTCCTCTGTGTGCACTTTTGCTTGAGCTGGAGTGTTGATCTAACATTTGTATTCTGCTTCACGCTCTCCTGCAGGTGATGGAGTTGATATCAGGGGGAGCTCAGATCGCTGTAACCAATGAAAACAAGATGCACTATCTCAACCTGCTTGCCCAGTACAGACTGGCTAGCCAAGTGAGGGAAGAGGTGGAACACTTCCTGAAAGGTGAGGGAACGGGCTCTTCTGCACTCTGCCTCTTTGTGCAGACTCCTTTCGTCAAAGGCCTCCCGTTATGTGCGCGTAATGTGGTTTCATATCCTGGTCAATGGCAGGTTTGAACGAGCTGGTTCCAGAAAATCTGTTGGCCATATTTGATGAGAATGAGTTGGAGGTACGTCGAAACTTGAATTAAATCCTCCAAATGGCTTCTCTCTTTTTTTTTTTTTTTTTTTTTCTTTTTTTAACCATGTTTGTGTCATTTTTAATCCCACCAGTTGCTGATGTGTGGCACGGGCGACATAAACGTGCAGGACTTCAAAGCCCACGCCGTGATCGTTGGCGGATCGTGGCACTTCAGAGAGAAGGTAAAACCCAGCCCCCGCCTTACAGCCCAGCGGTAGGACACTGTCTGAAAATAAAAAAAATATTAAATGCTGTCCTGCTTATGTTCCCACAGGTGATGAAGTGGTTTTGGGCGGTGGTGTCCAGCTTCACGCAGGAGGAGCTGGCACGCCTGTTGCAGTTCACCACCGGCTCATCTCAGCTCCCCCCCGGGGGGTTCAACACCCTTTGCCCCTCCTTCCAGATCATCGCTGCTCCCACACACAGCACTTTGCCCACTGCACACACCTGGTGAGCAAAGGATTACTAAGCAGTGTCTCAGTCGTCCACAATTCTTTACAGTTTTTGGACTGTTGAGCTCACCTGGACATAAGTCGCACACTTACTGTGAAACTAAAAACAGATGGAGGCCCCACTTCTCTTAAAGCTGCAGGTTTGGTCCGATGTGACGAGGCAAAATGTTTCTGTTAGCTCGTAAAAGTCCATAAATGAGCCGCATCATTGTCTAACCCGCAGTGTTCAAAGCGTGTGAAAAAAGTAGAAGCTTGTAGTCTGGAAATGTACTTTTTTGTAGTGTCCAAAGCCTTTTTTTTTTCTTAAACCATTGAGTAGTTTTAAGTGGAGACTGTCTTATTTTTGGCTTTCTAGTAGTATTTGTGGTGCTGGACGGGAGGACTCTTTAGTTTATTTTAACTGCCACTCAGCAACAGGGTTGCCTCCTGATGTGTTTTTAATAGTATTAACAGCACAGTGGGGCTTGATGGTGTTGTGGAAATTGCAATAAGACTCTTGGAAGTACGCAGGAAATACAGAATCAGCACATTTTTTATTTGTGAGCCACAAATGTGAGGATAATTTTCAGCTTTGTGTGTCAGTGTAGCTGACTCTCGGCTTTCTTTTCTCCCCAGTTTTAACCAGCTGTGCCTCCCCACCTACGATTCCTACGAGGAGCTGCACAAGATGCTGAAGCTCGCCATCAGCGAGGGCAGCGAGGGCTTCGGGATGCTCTGACTTCACTGGAGATCTTCTCGTGTGTCTGTGGAGACCAGCACAGCTCCACTGCCCCGCTCTCCCTGCATTCATCAACATTTAACAGTCCGGCATCTCGGCACCCCCTCACACGCCCTCTCTCAGAAGGAGGGGGCAATTCAGGGAGTTCCCGCAGACTCTGCTAAAAATGGTACTCGAGCACTACTATATACAGACTATCTTCCTTTTTCCTTACTTCCTTTTTTAAGATAACAGAAAAAAAGTAGAAAATAACAAAAAACAGAGTTCTTACGAAAAAGAAAAGGGTGAGATTTGGACTACCGTAGTTTAATTCCAGAATGCAAAGTTTGCTTAGCTTTATATGTTGAGAGACAAATGGTGCAGGAGCAAAGGCTTTGAGTTACACTATAAAACAGCTTCTTTTGCAACTGAAAACATTTGAAGTGCAACAGCAGCCTCCATGTGATGTGGGAAACATGCATCCACAGCACTTTGGCCTTAAACGATCAGGGACTGAAATGTGTATGTAAATATATGATATCACACTGTTATTTCAACTCTTGTACATATTAGGGTGTAAACATTGGCTTTCATTACTTTTTGATTTGACATGAAAGGAGAAGGGATGTCCTTTTTGCTACACGCTTTCTGGGTTGAGGGTTAAATTGAATGTTTTTTTTGTTTTTGTATTATTTTCGGTCTGGTTATGAGGGTTTTAAAGCCAAGCAATTTTGTATTGTCTCAATTTTAACTTATTAAGTTTTGAGAAGTGGTTTGTGTTGACCCAGATTGTTGACTGTTTTTGGTATGTTTTATAACCTGCCTTATTCATGCCCTTTGCCTGCGATCGTTTCCTGAGAGGTGTAGAGGAGACAAGCCCTCGGTCAACCATAATGGGAAGCAGTTAGATTAGAGCATTTCTTTTTCTAGATGCAGGGCTCACTGTGGATGGGAGTGTTGGTTTGGATCTTGGATGAATCCATATATCACCAAGTTTGTTATATATGCTTTTTACTCTCATTCACAGCCTTTGATAGGTATACCTCAGAATCTGACACCTATGCATCCTGACAACTACTCTAGTATGTTCTCATGCACGTGTATGGACAAGCATACAGATCCAGCTTTCTCATAGTAGCCTCCGTTCAGTCTCCACTGTCTGACTTTTAGCCAGATACGCCCTCATCCCTACGACATTAAAGGAAAGCATGATATGTTTTTTTTCTTTGTTAAGTTGTAACACTTATTTATTTTAAATGCTGTTAGTGTTGTCAGTGTCCTGAGCCAAGATATGCATTTTCTTGCTTATTTATGATTGAAGAGTTTACATGATCATTAGCCATGTTATAATGTGTGCTGCCAGTCAGAGTATTTGTGGAGCATTTAGAGAGAGTGATGTTTAGACTAAGCTGAACCAAAAAGGCTAACACACAGCACTGGTTCCTCTCAATAGCAATGTGATTTGAATATGTTCTTATTCTTCACAAAGCTGTCTAAATGTGGTGTTGCTCCTGGAATTTTAGGGCAACCGCTTTCAGATTTGACTATTTGATCAGCGAAAACATCACTCAGATGGGTAAGCTCATTAGCCGACCTTTTGCAGTGTTAAGAGGATTATATGAGGATTTAAGGACTTGTGCTCATTTGGGTTGTGCAATGTGGACTTGACATACAGAGTTGAAAAGTGAAATCGTTATCATTTTTATAACAATATTTCATCAAAGGTTTATTTCCAGCTCTAACCTACGGCAGAGATCATATTTATCAGACTCCAAGGTAATTTTTTATATGTATGACATGTCCTTTCTAAACAAATATGAACAAGGTCTGTCTCGTGGTTTTATGTTCCTGTTTGATGTTTAGCCTTTTCACAAACATCCACTTGTCTGTTTTATGTTTGAATGGGTTGCTGGGTTAGATGGCCTGAGTATGGCTTTTAGCGATGTAGATATTGTGAAATATTTGTCTGACTTTGAAGCTCTTTTTTTTTTTTTTTAATGGCGAGCCTCTGGTTATGAATGTTTAAGGAATTTCTGGTTTGCAGCTCCTGTTTATTTGAATAAAAAACAATGGAATTGATTACTATATATCATACTTATCATGATGTTTTTTCTTACGTCCAAAGGCAAGTAAGTTTGGAGATTACAGGCAGTGTTGCATTCCTTGATGTCCACTGTTGCCATTAAATTGAAGCACTAAAATGACACGAGCTGGTGAGCTCCCGTTTTAGACACAAGGGGGCGCTGGCTCCACTTGTGCCAGGCGCCCACCATAAGTGAAGTGTACATGCATTGTGTTTTCATCCCTCGGGACAGCCCGGTAACAGTAAATAATGAATGGCTTTCCTGTTTTCAGCTGACGATCCATATTTTAATCTTTCCACGCATCGGCCAGACCAGATGGAATCCCTTCCTTTACTGACATTGCTCCACACACTCATAACTACCTCATAAACACATGAAAATAAACATACTTCATTCAAAACTGCTGGGTCCATGTTGGCTCCAGGTTTAATGAGGTCAGTCCTTTCTGGGCTCTATTGTATATGGAGCTGCTGACAGTCAAGTGGAAAGCAACTGGTTCCCTTCCCATCCAGCACAGGGATGTGTAGCGTAATTTGACTGCTACGTGACAGAGGAACGCTCTCTGTAGCCTCAGTGTTATGTCCTATAGTTTATGTCCGACGTTATCCACAAATGAAAACTGCTTTTTAATTGCCAGGCCGTGAACACGCAGGCCCCACGGCCCCGCATACACGCTACACCCACATGTGCCTGGCCCGACTCCTCGCACTGTGGTCTGAACACTATCAGGAACAGGCAGAAAAGCATCTTGAAGCACTTGGAGGCAGGAGTCCAGTCATTTGGTCTTGGCATGCACCTGTGGATTTGCATAATGGTCTTGCTCAAATTTCCCGAGAGGAATGTTTGCTAAAAAAGGGACAACAAATCAGAAAGTCATTCTCCGGTCCTTTTTCCAAGAACCTGAGGGAGAGCACTGTACTGACGCTTGTACTGCATTTTTGGGAGTTCATTTAATGGTACACATTTCCCATGAAAACATGTTTTTTTTTTCCTGATAAATTTTCCTTGTACTATTCCATAAACGGCTCCAGACCTAACTATAGCCTGGATTTTAGGGTCGGGGTTGCCAAATTCCTGGGGGAGTCGATTTATTGGTGGTGTGCGGAACCTCATTTCCCACTTCTGAGTCAGGCCCTCTGCCTCCGAGGAGATGTCCATCAATTCCTCTGATCAAAGGTAATTGTCTGCAGACAGTGATCTTTCTCGGAGCAGACAACACAAATGTGGCATTTTTTTATGCATCTTTACAACATGACTACTCCCCTTCCTGTTAAACAGCCGTGGGGTTGTCTGCTTCCCATTCCAACATGAAGGTCCTCATTACCTGATTGGGCACTGCTGATTAACTGCCAACTGGATTGGTTAAAGTTATTTATCATCTGCGATGATTAGGACATCTTGGAGGCCAGTCTTAATCAAAGCTGGTGAAGGACAGGCGGGTTTTGTTCCAGCAGCCAGCCTGGATCGAGGTTAGCTCTTTTATTGTACAAAAAAGTGGCTTTACAAAACATGCAAATGGTTTGTCGGCCCTGGGTTCAAACACCGGCAAACATCAGGTTTAAACATGTGCACGGACTCAAAGTCTACCACTGTAAAGAAGAGCTAGCTAGCTCCATTCTCCTGCCCACAGTGGCTGACCACTAAAATTACTGTTTGTCCAATCAGGGTCATAACTGGCCGGCGCTGTGATTGGTGACGGTGTGGTTCTGCAATTGACGTCGCTGAAGTTTATAGAGGAAACAGCTGTAAGAAACGCACATCGCCGTGATGACAATGGTCTGGCAGTGAAGCGCAGTCCAGGAAGGTTTGGAAGGGATCGCTGCTGATTAAAGAGATTCTTTTCCTCCAATCTCAATCTTCAACCTCTAATATTTGGCAGATTTCGTCCTGCTTCTGTTGATTCTCTGTAGGTCACAGCGCTAAGACCTACATATGCACAGACACCCAGGCTGGGAGGCTGCAAGTCCGTGTTGGATAGAAGGCAAGAGTAGCCAAACCGTGGCGAAAGAGCCTGATTTAAATATATTATTTTACCTGCAACAGAACGCCAACATGTGTTTTTCTTTGAAAGTGACAAGAAAAACCTCCAGCTGAGGCCAAACAGACAAGGCGCTTTCAGCCTTAAGCGGCCTTGAAAAACTGCTAGCATGGAGATTAAGAGTCCCCCAGCTGTTGGCTGTCTATGTTATATATATGACGTCGAAAGAGAAGCTTTTGATTCATGGGGTTAGTTGTCCTGCTGGGATATGGAGCTGTATTAGATTCACTGTGCTAGGAAATATTTCTGTCCTTATATTTCCTTTGTGAAGACAGGGCCTCAAATGTATGTTGTCCAACTGTTTGACAAATATCCAACACGGCTCCACCCTTTGTTGTCAGGTCGAGTCACAACAGTATATATATGAATCGGTTGTGAGGAGGGATTTATCTTGATGTCTCCAGTGCAAAAAACAATAATCGCAGAGGAAATATTATCAGCAATGCTCAGAACATGGACCTGGTCAAGTCTGTCAGTTCCCCATTCTGATTAAGACTGAAATATCTTTTCTACTAGATGGATTGCCAAGAATCATTCTACAGACATCCATTGTCCTCCAAAAGTTGTTATTCCTTACTTCGGTAATCCCATAACATTTCCTCTCATTACACCAAGAAGCTTTAGTTTTTTAATGTACTTCTTCTTGACAGCTGTTGGATTGATTGCCATGATATTAGGAACAGATGTTCATAGTGCCCAGAGGGTGATTCCTGACTGCTTTGTGTCCTGTTCAACCATCCGCAAGGACTTTGCTTAAAGTCCCGAAACATCTTTGCGTCTACACTAAATCAGCTGACATAAGAGATGGTATACCGAGACATTCGAGGGTCCCCGAGGACGAAGATCAGGACCCAATCTACACTTATCGGCAGTCGTGTTTGCGATTTTGGGGCCAAAAC